TGGCATGTTCTGTTTATGTGACAACCCTTACTAGTTGGCTGTGTTGGGTGGTGGCGGGTTTTAACGTCACATTTATATAATTACGTGACCTAACCCAAAAAAATCTCTTATAGATCTTAACACCTGTTTTATTGTCATAAAGGGTAAAACCTATTCTTATTTTCATATTTTGATACTGGAAAAAAGGTCCCATGCTATTGCATATGCTTATGAAAAATCACTGTTATCCATACATAAATACCAAAAGGTCTGGGTTAAGCATGTGAAAAATGATGATAATGGAATTATGGTAGTTCATGCTGAAGTATTGAACCTAAGGATCATTCAGGACAACAACATATTTATATGTGTAGTGCAGGAGAACCAGGCGGAGACGAGGAATTCTATAAGGGCTGTTGCCGTTTTATAAAACACCGTTACACTCGACATCCGACGTTCACACCAGTGTAGGTGCACTCTATATCGGTTCTTTACCCCGGACACTAAATACTATTTGGGTCCTCTCACTTGTCTGACCGGAGTGGGGGTTCAGCCAACACTGCTCTGCCACGAGGAGAGGGTGACCCTCTTCCCGCCGACCCTTTACTGAATACCTACGGACCCTACCCTCGGCTATCCCCTTTGCTCTCCCACTCGTCTGCCCAGAGCGGGGGTTCAGCCAGCACCGCTCCGCGACGAGGAGAGAGACCCTCTTCCAGCCGATCCTTACTCTGGCTCCCTATGACGACCACGCCTCCGTCACGGGGCCCCACTTAAGAACCCTTTGGGCGGCTCTTCCCCCCAGCTCGGCTCTGCCCATGTTCCCGAAGGTGCTCTCCAAAGCCCCTTATGTAACCCGTGATATTACGCCATTCTTGACTGTCAACCCGCTCGCACCTTCTTCTGCTCGCCCCCTCATTGGTTACTCACAATACTCCTCTACATATGTGTAGTGGATTCAACTGAGTCGCAGATGCACTTTTTGGAGGCAACACATTTATTAATACCAACACATAACACAAACGAGTTACTGCCCCTTCACCAAATAACCTATGGTGGTGGACCACCAGACTAAATACGCTTGTTACTGGGAGTAGCTACAACGGACAGGACCCTAGCTGGAGTCCTCATCCACGTGTTGGTGACTTCTTCTTGGACGTAGATCGTAGATCTTCAGATGACGGCAGCAATGCTGAATCCCGGTCCCCTGTGGGGATCCAGGTTAATATACTGCTGGGTCATGGCTGGCCCCGCCCTTGGCCACGACCACCTTCGAGAAACCTCGGGTCGTCTCTCGACTGTTCCCGTAGGATCTACCCTGACACGTGACCACCCCCAAGCCCCGACCCGGGGGCCTTTGTATAGAGCTTACTGATCACGTGCCGTCCAGGGTCAACCATAGTGCCATGGCCCAGGTTAACCTCATCCCATGGCTGACACTTTCACACTCCCTCCTGCAAGAGTCAGCACTGCACGCCATGCGTGGTGCCACTGCGCTATCCCAGCACTCACTGAGCCCCCCCTAGGGCTGGTACTACACCCACCTACGGGGTGTCCGCGATGACAATGCATCGCACGCCGTGCCTCACGAGAGCCGGCATTCCACCGTGACATACACAATGTCGCTACATACGTGATGTCTGCGATGTGAGAAAATCGCACGCTGTGCCCCTCTCGGGCCGGCACCACACAGTGACATCCGCGATGTCACTAAATATGTATTGTAATTATGGCAATTCTCCACGACCAAAACTAAGATTATTTAAGGGTGTATAACCAGAGCCACGCCCGACCGCCTTAGTGGCGATCTTTACATACCAGACCAGGTATTCATTTTAAGGCTGAGTCGACCTGGGGGGGGGGGGACCTAGTTCAGATAACTGCCAATGTGTTGATTGTGAGTGGGAATAGAACCCAGCAAGCCAGGCTCAATAGGAGAGGGGGAAAAAAGACAAGAACACCTAGAGAGGGAGGGAGGCCGTTTTCACATCTAAACACGTGCTACAAAGACACACCACATTTAGGGGCCAACTTGTATGAGTCGATAGACATCACAAGGGCAATTAAGGGGGTCTTTGTTCACACAAGTCTTGGCATGACCTCCGAAGGGATGAAGTATGACAGGGTTTATGACATCAGGCACCGGGATGTCTGCAGAGCCAGGGCCAGGGGTAAACTCAGGATCACCCAATGGATGCTCGAGGGCGTGATAGTGGGAGGAGCTTCGGGCTCTGACGTGACTTAGGGAATTAATGAAATAAGCTAGAAATGTCTATATAACAATAGACGAAAATCATATTAATCAGTCTTTCAACGGCAGACTCCGAGTGGTGCCCCAAACCAACCACAGTTTGAGCTATGCAACGGCAAAGGCTCCGAGGAGCTAAGAGTTTGAGTCTTGCTAAGGGAGACCCCTTAGTGTCCCTGAAAGCAGCTACTATTTTCTTTCATAGTTTTCTTTACATTTTGAGTTACTTGTAGAATCATGGACTCCGAGAAGTCGTGTTGTGATGAGTTACGTGGTCGAGGAAAATTGTTGATAAGCGCCTCTGGCGATAGCGGGCACGGTGTGCATCACACGAAAATCCATCCATCAAAGAAAATACGCTTAATACAAACCAAAACTCGGAGAGTGAACGCATGCTAAACGGGGATTTACTGTACAGTAGAATGCACTTGTGAGTACAGAACATAATAATTAGTGATGTTCTTATAAATTATAATTTGTATTAATTAAATAATATTTACTGTTCAGGACAACGGCACATGAATATCTGTGCAAGGAGAAAGACTAAATAACCTGAGATTTAAATTTCGATTTAAAGCTTTCGTGACTGCAATGATTCATCTTCTTTGGTTCTTTCGGTAAAGTCATGTAGAATGAGAATAAAATAATAAATTGATAAAATAAAATAACACAATAATATTCTCACAGAATAATATTCTCACAGAATATTATTGTGTTATTTTATTTTATCAATTTATTATTTTATTCTCATTCTACGTGACTTTACCGAAAGAACCAAAGAAGATGAACCTGAGATTTGCCAACGACGTAGATCTGAGGGAATTAAAGCTGTGTAGTACTGCAGGAAAGTGTTCATACGGTTAATAAGTCAGGAAAGGATGCAGGGCTGAGGATTAACGTGGAAACGACAAAGACGATGGTGTTCACAAGGAAGGACATTGAGAAAGAAGTAATACTAGAAAGCAGTAAGATTGTGAATGTAAAGGAATGTGTATACTTGGGAAGTCTACTGACATGGGACAACGACTGCACGGAAGATAGAAGAGTGAGGATTGCAAATGCAAAATGGGTAATGGCAGGATTCAATAACATCTGGAGGAACAAGCAAATCAGCTACAGGACAAAACTGAACATCTTTAGAATATGCGTGTTCAGTACAGCTTTATGTGCCTGTGAGATTTGAATATTGAAAAAGACTGACAGAGATAGGATATTAGCATTCGAAATGAATTGCCATAGAAGGATAATGGATCTAAATTTTACCCAAAGAGTGACCAACGTAGAAGTGAGAAAACAGTTGCACTTAGAAGAAGACAACCTGATGATGCAGGCAGTGATGAGAAGGAAACTGTCACAATTTGGACACGTGTAGGATGGACAACAGGAAAATTAAAAGTGTGTTGTCCGGAAAAATGTAAGGAGCCAGAAAGAGAGGGAGACCTCACAGAGAATGGCTTGACGACGACGACATCAGAGATTAGTGCCAGAAAGATGTGGCAACTACTTGAGCATAAACAGCACGAGAGAGAGGAAATCGGAAACAAATGAAGAAATGTGTAGTGGATACCTACGGGCTATCTGCCCATGGATCGTAATGATGATGATGATCTGTATTATTTTTAGCGCTATTACCGATACCCCTCATTGCATATACGGGAACGCATCCCCATTAATATATTATGGAATATCACCCCTTTTAGCGCCGATTTGATTCGCGCTCACTTCTCCATGAGCGCATCTAGAGCGCTTTGCAAGGTCTGCCCGTACATACATAAGGGGCCGTCCATAAATGACGTCACGCACTTAGGGGGGGTCAGACATTTTTGACCATGTGTGACGATGGGGGGGGGGTGAGAAACGTGACGTCACATCAAAATGCGCAACTTTAAATAAATATAGACAACACGTTCTACTTAATAGACTTTTTAATAAATGTTTTCTCCTACGACATCAAGAGTGTAGCGCCACATTAAATACGTACTACAACAGTTTAAAGCGATTTGAAGTATTTTTTTTGGGGGGGGGGGAGCTTTGTGACGTCATATTTGAGGGGGGGTCTGACTTTTTGTGACGCCGTGTGAAGGGGGGGGGGGGTAAAAATTCGTCCAAAATCGCGTGACGTCATTTATGGACGGCCCCAAGCGTGCAGAGCTGTTATTTAAATGGAAAACGTTAAAAAGTGTTCATTCTTTATTCGTCCTTTCAATGTTTTACGTGAATACAAAACACTGAGTGGAGCAATGTATTCGTTGGGAAACAGATTTTCATCAGGATCTTCAACCTTGAAGTGCGGGGTAGCAGCTGGTGTGGAGATCAGGCTCTATCTTCTGCTATGTAGCCAAGAGGCAGCCCTCCTGCACCACTGGGGGTTGGGATGAGTAGCGGAGGACGGGGGGCGAAGGGGGTGAAGGGCGAACGCAGGGTCCGAATTCCTACTCAGTATTCCTGCTGCTGCTTCCTGCGATGTCAGCAAAACCTCTCTCACTCACACGTGCACACACACAGAAAAAGATCCCCCGTGTAGCCTTAAGACTGTTGGGGAAAGTGTTGTTAGCGAGCACCTATGAAGGCCAGCGCGGCACACAAAGGCGTAGATGGCCAGCACCACGCAAGGCCACCTTTGTCTCCCCAGTGCTGATATTTAGACTCCGCACCAGTTACTCACTTGAGACCGAGTCGATCTAGAGGAGACACAGGACCGGTTCAGATTATCGTCACCTATGTTGGCCATGAACGGGAATCGAAATTGGGTGGCTGGGTATGTGTCGCAGCGCGCTAATCACTGCGCCACCGCCCTCGATACACGCACACACGCGCACCATCCCAAACCTTCAGTGGGTCTCCTCTCCCCTCATCCACGGACTGCCGCTTCGCTCTGCATTCTAATATGTAACTCTTTGGTTAAGATAACAGCTGGGCACACACACACACAATCGATCCATTCAGCAGTGCTGAGGAAAGGCACCACACTCGCAAATTCCAGCTACAGCTATATATAGCGGCAGAACGCTCCTCGTCACTGCTGCTGGCATCACAGCGTGGAGTTGCAGCAGTGAGTGTAAAGTGGCTAAGGCATACATTGGAGTGATCCCGAGATATAGGTGCCAACTCTAATGCGTGTAGGTCAAGGTAGGACTAAAACAACAGGAATTCACACGACAGCTAAACCCGTATAGGGCTCACTCTATACACATACAGCGCACAAAGTGCGAGGCTCGAAGAGAAACAATGATTCTCTCTCGCCAAGAACAAAGACACGTCGAAGATTAGAGGGCCGCCAGTGCAGGAGGGCACGAGCACGTTCTACGGACGCGCGAGCCTTCAGTGATTGCGGAGTGTTCCGCTACTCACAAGCCGACTAATTGTGGCGACTCCTCGGGATCTCGCGGAGGCAGAAGGACGCAAGCAGTGCGCGGCGCTGCCATGAACACGATCGCCACGTGGGTGAGGAGGCATTCGTGGCTGAGCAGCGTGGCCGCCTTTGGGATCCTCTTCGCCGGTGCCGACGCGGTCCAGCAGAGATTCATGAGACCCCCACCGCCTCCCAGCCACCACCAGCGTCCCCCCCATCACCCTGACAGGGCCCGCACGGCACGGGCTGCGCTGCTGGGCCTCACGTTCCACGGCAACTTCAACTACGTGTGGCTGCGGGGCCTGGAGAGGGCGATTCCGGGGAGTGCGGCGCGGGCAGTGGTGGTCAAGGTGCTGGCGGATCAGACGGTGGCCGGGCCCATCACCATCTCGGCCTTCTTCACTGGTACCCGCTTCGCCTTTGTCAGGGGGCAGTGGGGCGAAAGCCCTTCCTTGACACACCAGACATTGGCATTCATGAATAATGACTGAGGAAATGCGTTGAATGTCTGTTTATTAATGTCTGGTGTTATATAAACAAATCTTTAAATTGAACGTCCTAAAGATCCATAGAAGTGTATATGCCCACCCCTGGCGATAACGACTTGCTAATGAGAAAGCATTCCCCAGTCATCATTAACTGTTGACCACTTCCCCGGTAACGGTCTCCAATTCACAAGTGCCGACTGCTGAAGGCGTGCCTTTCTCACCGCGAAAAGATTTGCAGGCAACTGCTTTGTATTGACCAGAAACGATGGAGAATTCACAGATTAACGTTTAGCGTTCACCAGGAAGCCCTCACCGGTCACTGCCATTCAGTCCAAGAGTCCGATCGAGGCGCCTTGCTTACACATAGATGGTGGGTGCCTCTCCATCGCCCTTCACAGAGCTCACGGAGATGTCTGACTAGACCAGGGGTCGGCAACCTTTCGAAGAAGAAGAGGAGGAGCCATTTCCACACGTAGGCTTTCGCGACCAATATCCATAATAGAGGTTTTTGGGTTAGATCACGTAAAAAGTAATTACTGACGAAACGTCGTACTCAGATTGTAAATGCTGTGGCTTGGCTCTCCAACACACCGGTGTGCTGTACTACATGTTCTGTTTACGTGACAACCCTTACTAGTTGGCTGTGTCGGGTGGTGGCGGGTTTTATCGACACATTTATATATTTACGCGATCTAACCCAAAAATCTTTATGATGGAGGAATCAAGTTTTGTGTGTTTGTCTTTGACTAACATAGTTCGAGATTCGCATCACACGCGGAGAAATTTGAACACAAACACAGTAGCAGGTATGCAACAGATGAGAAACTGAGTATGCGTCTATTTAGTTTGTGTCCCAATTTAGTTACTCTTTAAAAGTAGTTTGACTGTTGTACATTTTGTTGTCATCAAGACATCCCATAGTGACCCATTCCCTGTCATATTAATTTAGTTATATTTACTTTTAATGATGTTTAAGTTTGAGTTTTTACAAAGAAAAGGGCCACGACATGCGCTCTGGAGCCGCAGGTTGCCGACCCCTGCTCGAGAGCCAGTCTCCCTGCTCATCTCTATTGGCAGCTGTAAGCCAGTGGTAGAAGTTTCTGCATCCACCTTTACCCACTCAGCATCCACAGGTAGTAACCGGTGAAAGATTAGTAACTGCTTTACCATTCATCATTAAAAGCTTTCCATTCATTGATAATCCCTACATATTAATCGAAAGAGATGAACATTGAATGGCAATTTCTTACTATGTAATTGTATCCCCTAAGCATTTGGGGGTGCCGCGGTAGCAAGATGTTAACTCCCTCGCCTGGTATATAGGAGGTCGTGGGTTTGATCCTGAGCCTGACGATGCCTGTATATTTGGAGTTTGCATGTTCTCCCTGTGGTCGCGTGGATTTTTATCCGGGTCCTCCGATTTTTCCCTCCACATTTAAAAACATGCATTTAGAGTATTTGGCTTATTTACATTTTCACATAAGCCACGTTGTTAAGCTATCGTTTGTGATCACCAGGTCACTTCTGTAAAATAGTTATATAGCTCAGTGGGCCTTACCTGGTACAATAAAAATAGGTTAGGTTAGGTATTCATCGGAAACCGCTTACCATGTATTCTGCTCCCTAAGCATTCACCCGTAGTTTCTGCCACAGTGTGTCACTGAATACGTTTTTAGTCCAAATATTGGTGAAATGTGCGTGCGTCTTGATCACCAACAACGGGGAAAACTGACAAGGGCCGTGTGCTCTGGAACTATCGTAGAGAGTTGCCCCACTTATTGTAGTTTGGCAGCTCTGAGGCAATGGTGAGGATTCTACATTCCCAAGGAAGCATTCTGTCTATCCCAACCGCTGGCAGACTTCTGACAAACTCAAGTCGTGGGTAAAAAACATGTCACCTCGCGCCCGGTAAGTAAATGCTTTACAAGTTAAACGTTTGGCGAGTTTTCAATCAGTAATAGTGCAATTGCTTAAGTATCACCGGTTTAATCCTGCGTGCAATCACTATTGCAGTGGTCTCCTGTGAAGACAACTGCCTCTGCCCAGATACTATTTCACTGCTGGCTCCAAGTTTGAGCTGAAACACTTTGGGCTGTCTTCTTAGCCACAGCTCGGTTCTGGCTTGGCCTCTAATGCGGCTCAGCTCAGACTTGAGCCACATTTAAAAGATGCACGAGCAAGCCGCTCAGCCGTGACTCGGCTCAGGGTGAGCTCATGAACATTCTGGGCACGGCTGAGGCTGTGCGCGGAGCCAGCTCAAGTTAAGCGTGGCGTGAACCGGCTCACTTGAGCCAGAATCAAGCTTGAGATGAGCTGTGACTAAGAATACTGCCCTTCACTTTGACTTGCTTATCTAGTGACTACACCTTTCAACATCTTTTTTTTGTCTCGTGTGCAGGGATGAGTCTGCTGGAAGGAAAGCCAGACATTTATAAGGACCTCAGGCAGAAGTTTTGGCCAACCTATAAGGTGTTGAAAATGTCAAATTAAATCACACGCGGCTTCATATCAACACAAGTGTGTGCACATTTACTCCAGTATCCCACAGTAATTCTGGTGATCACAATGCCATTAATATGTATAGTATAACGAGATGTTATAACCTGGCCAGATGGCAACACGGAGCATTTGACCCAATTACATGGTCGTGAGTTCAAATTCCTGTCAGCAAATTAATCAACCCTTCATCCTTCCGGAGCCAATAAAATAGGTAAAAATTTGTGGGGTCACCAGTAGTGCTCCTATGGTTAAACTGGTCCATGCCAAAAGAATGGAATTTACACCAATGGTTCATGGTCACCAAATGAAAATCCCACTGCCTAAGCTTATTTGTAAAGAGAGAACTTTCAACCCATGTTTCATTTTTGATACCGATTACGTCTTTCAACAGTCGAGCATTACTCTTTGGTTCTTTCGGTAAAGTCACGAAAAAATAAAATAAATAAAATAATAGGATACGTCGTTTCGATTGCTACACAAGCAACCGTCAGCAGGTAAGAATGAATGAGAAAACAAACCTAGTAAACACATAGACCGACACACCAGCAGAGAGAGACACACACAGAGACACACAGGGACGCACACATGTCTCTCTGCTTGTGTGTCTATGTGTCTCCGTGTCTGTGTTTTGCCTCTCAAATTTAGCAATCTTTGGAAGAACGTAATCAACCAGTTAGGGTGTTGACTGTTGTGTTAGCCGACTCTCTGTGTTGTATTGCATTATATTTCTAAGTTTACTAGGTTTTCTCATTCATTCTTACTATGATGACGGTTGCTTGTATTGCAATCGAAACGTCGTATTCTATTATTGAATGTATTTTCTTTCTACGTGACTTTACCGAAAGACCCAGACTAATTCCTGCAGTCACGAAAGCTTCAAATCAAGTCGAGCATTGTATTTCCTTTTTGTTGAAATGATCAGATTATGCTAAATGAAGTCGATAGCAGGGGCAGTCAAAATGTTTGGGGGAAAAAAAACAGGTGGGCACAGTCAGCCTTGACCCGTATTTACCTGTTAGCCCAATCTATATATCGTGAAGAACAGAATAGGTTCAAAGGCTGGATGGCTTTTTCCAAATACGAAGAAGTGCGCACTGACTTTATACACAAAGTCAAAGTGATGTCCTGCTGCTCAAACGAGCGGTGCTCATCTCCCGTTGACAACTGTGAGCCAGTCTGGAAAATCAACATTCCTATGGTGGGGGTGAGTCCCTGCATAGGGCAACCACTGCTGACTTCTCTACACAGTAGTGCTCATTGTATTGATTCCAGAGGAACTCGCGCCTAATTTGCGAGCCACGCTACAGCTGAGCCACCAGGCCAGTTATGTTCGTACACCGTGTTCACTGCTCCTCGTGTGAAGTCACGAACCACACTTGCCCCAACTGTATACGAGGCTGTGTGGGAAATCTTTGTCTTTGCAGTAAAATGAACGTTTATGCAATCTTCTTATTCTTCTTGTTGGCAGACAGGCGTTGTTTATTGGTCGGCGATGCAGGTAATACCATCTCCTCTTACCATCATCTGTAACTTATACCTGACAAACACATACCAAGAAGCCCACATGGTACCACACGTTTGGAAAGCACCACTATCTCAGTATAAATTGTTTACATGTTCTTCAAAATTGCTAATGCATCACATCTTTATAAATGTTCCCTGTTCATAATGCACCAATTCTAAAGAGTCACCAACTGAGTCCCTTTCTACTGCTGTTAACAAGGGAAAATTCTAACAGCCACTGGCCTTACTGTGTAGTTTTGTGTTTTGAGGCAGTGTTGGTGACGGCAAGCAGTGTTAGGATGCAACGTGATACATGTGTAGGGTCTTTTAAAACATTACTCACACCGACACGTTGTAACAAGCCACCTGTTTACACTTTATTCTTATACCAGTTGTAGGCACTCCTATAACTATCTATACGGTCAATTATGTTTAACCTCTCCCCACTATCTACCTTCCACCTCACTTATCCTGCACTTGGCAGCTCTGCTCTCAGCGTCTCCGCACACAGCGTCTCCACACACAGCAACTCTACATCTCCACCGCTGCCCCTAAGACCCGCTCACCCATCTGGGTTGAGGTCAAGTTGACGGCTGGAGGGGCAGAGGCGAGATGTCGTCACTCTTCGACCCCGGCAACAACTCCCTCTCCGCTCACGCACACACCCTTATATCCCTCTGCTAATTATCTGAGACCTCTCATGCGTCTCTTTAAGCTCTTGCCAGGCCGACGCCTGTTGGCCCATCAATCAACCCTTATCTCCCATCTGCCTGGCAACACCTCCGGTCTCAACGTACACAACCGGTCGACCCAGTTTGTACCTGCTTCGCCCCTTAACAACTGGCGGTTTGTCCGTGCAACCTCATGTTGCACACGCGCACCTGTTTGCCCTCAGTTACCCTCGGTTAACTGTGCACACCGCGTATTTCATTCCTCTACACATGTATCAGGTGTGCTGGGTGTGGTGGGCTATGCCTGTGATCCACGCTTTCTACACAGTACGGCATGTTCATTCACCCATCCGTTTGAATTTTTTTGAGTGTTCATTATCATCATCAACCATGATCTATCTGCTGCTGGATGAAGGCATCTCCAAGTCATTGCCAAAACCTCAGTCTCGTAAGGGAACAATCCATCCAGCTCCTGCAAATGAGCCAGTCTCATCCTATTGTCTCCGTGGCAGTTACCCTCTGGAGTTCCCGTTCCATCACCGGTCTTGACAATCAGCCATCATCCCTAATGGCGAGCGATGTGTCCTGCCGATGGCTACGGATTTTCTCAGGGGTCAATAGATGTCTCTTGTTTGTGTCTATGCTCTGGGTTTTCATGGTCATTAGTTTTATCCTGCATATTAACCATTATTTAAAAAAATAAAGTTGCCAAACATGCTAATGCAGGATCCTTTTGAAAATGTCAAAGCTATGATCTTAGTCGTGGCTCGGCTTTAGTTTGGACTCTCAACACTCAGAATCGGCTCGGGTTTAAGCCTCTCACTTGCTGTCAAAGACGCATGAGTGATGCACTCAGCCGTGGCTCGGCTCAGCTGATGGAAATCCCAAGTACGGCTGGGATCATGCTCAGAGCTGGCTCAAGTTGAGTGTTAGGGTTTTTAACTTGCTCCCTTGAGCCAAACCCAAACCTGAGCCGAGCCATCTCTAAGAATTCGGGCCTCCTCAGTGAAGCTTTTCTGAATAAGGAAATTAGTTTGTTAGGTGGCCAAGTTTGCAAGCTGCTGTTACTGATGCCGTGTCCCCTGTCCTGCAGACCATCAACTTCACGCTGGTGCCTCCGTACGCGCGTTCAGTGTTTGTGGGCGTCTGTGCCTTCTTGTGGACCTGCTACCTGTGCTACGTGCGGCAGCACAGCTCCGGGACAGACAGGGAGCAGCAGCAGCACGAAGTATGGGAGCACAAGGAGCAGCACGAGGAGCCAGGAGGTCCGGGGCAGTAGCCACATGGGTAGAGGGGCAGGGTTAACCTGAACTCACGCCCTGGGCTATGCCACACAGGAGAGGAGAAACTCTGCAGCACCAACTCAAGGTTTCTATTTAAAGTTACTCATCGGGTATTATCAATGAAGCGCTGCAGTGAGGCATCTCAACGAGACTTTACATTCTTATTCTGAACAAACCTTTATTCAATGAGGCTTCTCATTGAGAATTTTCTGTAAAGCACCTCAATGTAAAGGCACATACAACCAAATCAACCTGAATGTGCCCAGTCACATCATATCTCAGAAGCTAAGCAGTGCTGAGCCTGGATTGGGTGGGTGACCACCTAAGTATAATCCAGGGCTTGCCAGGTGTTTTAGGCGAGGGGCTGCAAGGTAGTAGCCAGGAGATGGTAGTGGCGAGTAACACTCTTTTGAGTGATACTCAAGGGTGATGCGGTGGCGAGATGTTAACTACCTCGCCTGGTATACAGGAGGTCGTGGGTTCAATCCCGACCTTAATGCCTGTACATTTGGAGTTTGCATGTTCTCTCTGTGGTCATGTGTATTTTTCTCCAGTTCCTCTGCTTTTTTCCTCCACATTTAGAATCAACACGCATTTAGAGTATTTGGCTACAATACATTTACACGCGATAAGCCACTTTGTTGCGCTATCATTTGTGGCCAGATCGCTTCTGAAAAATAGCTATATAGCTCAGTGGGCCCTTACCTCGTAAAATAAAAAATTGTAAAAAAAAAGTTTTGAATGTCTGGGTTTTATCTGGTTAGTCTGGTTTCCTCCGACCTGTAGCTAAACAATGCACCAAAGGGATTTGCTACATCTCAATTCAGGCTACTCCTGAAATATTGTTGAGGCTCGTCGAGGCTTTCTTGGGTAAATAAATTATTGGCATTCTAACAGCGTTGCTTGGTCAGCATTACTCAAATCTAGCTGGACGTGCCATGACACGTGTGCACATGCGAAGTCTTAACAAGCACTGCACCTCTTCAGCCAAAGAAGATATCGCTACGTGCCTGCTGTCAATAGGAAGACTTTATTCAAAATTTGTTCAAGGCTATTATTCAAGCACATTCATTAAGTACCATCTTGGGAATGTACTTTGTAAACCGAGCAATCAATATTGTGTACAGTACCCAGATAATATAAATTTTCTAAGAATGAAAACATCCAATTTTATGCCAATTTAAGCTGAGCTTTAAAAACGTAAAAGTAACTTTGGCATGCCTCTAAGAACTTGTAAACATTAACCCATGAACAAACTTCAGACTCAATCATATATATTTATATATACATATTGAACCAAAATGAAATAAGGAAAATAAAGTCTGCATGGCAGTTATTTGCAGTACCAAAATATAAGCGATATGCTTTAAGTTAACTCACGCTGCTTGTAAATTACTTTAGTGGCCAACCAAGATACAGGCATTGCACATGACAGATGCAGCTGGCATCAGAAATGAGCTCACAGGAAGAATACACATTAAGCAAATCAGCACAGGATACACACACCTCTTCGCTTCACAAGTTCACCTCTTCGTTCACCTCTTCGCTTCACAAGTTCTCACGATTTACCTCATTGGCCAGTTGCATAACGACCCTTGAGTTGAACTTACAGGCATGTCTCACTTCACGAGCGAGATACATTGTGACAAAAGCTTGTTAAGCAAAAACTTGAGCAACTAAAATTGTTTTCCCACTGACTCCTAACCATTGTTAAAAACTGACCTACGTTTCAGCCCCACCATTTTCCACTCTTGAACAACGTTTTTTAACGAGAAATATCATCAGGTCCTGATGGTATACCAGCTGAAGTACTGGAAATGGGGGGGGGAGAAACATGCTCCTGGTCCACTGAAGAACACTGCTGACTGACGCAGCACTAACATCGTCACCAGTTTATGGAGACAAGGCCGACTGTGGCAACTATCAAGGCACTGCCATCCTCTCCATCGCTTGTGAGATGCCTGCGAGGCTCGTACAGTCTGTTCTGCTCGTTCCAACAGAGGAATTACTCCCAGAGTCCGAGCATGGCTTGAGACCATCACGAGGCACCACCGAAAATGATTTTCGCAGCCAGGCAGATCCAGGAAAAATGCCCAGAACAAGACCAAGAGCTGTTGATGGACTTCATCAATCTGACCAAAGCCTCTGATTCTGTCAACCGTGAGGTCTCTGTGGAAAACCAAGTCAGAGTTTGGCTGCTGAAGCAAATTAACCACCATTGTGAAACTCCTCCACAACCAGACGACTGATTCCATCCTGTGCAGTAGCTCTATATCTCCGAGCCCTTTGCCATCCTAACTGGGGCGTAAAACAAGGTTGTGTACTGGCACCCACACTCTTCTCCATTTTACAAGCAGATATGAAACTGTTAATCAAAGAGTGTCTGCCACAGGGCATTGTCATTCAATATCAGACTGACGGCAACCTATTTAACCACTCTCGCATCTATGCCAGAACGTAGCATCGGCTACAATCACCAAATTCCAGTAGACAGATGACTGTGATGTGTTTAAAGGAGGATCTACAAACAGCCGTTAACTGCCTCTCTGATGCTCACAAAAGCTGAGGGCTAACCCTGAACATCACAAAAAAATTATCCATCATCCTGCTCCCAGTCAACCATCATATCCAGCAAGGGAGATATACATTGACCGAGAGTAAATGAAAAATATAGAACACTTTGCCTACCTTGGCAGTCACCTCTCACAGTGAGCAAACACGGTTGTTGAGATTCAGCACAGAATCTGCTGTGCCAGCCTGGTCGTTGACAGACTATCTCTCCGGGTGTTCAACAACCACGACATCAGAACACACGCTAGACGTTTCGTTTACATAGTGTTGGTGATTGCAACTCTTCTCTATAGCTGCGAGACGTGGGTGACTTAAGGAAAACACCTGAAAAACCTAAAACGCCAGCACCGGCACTAATTTGGAAGAGTCTCAACACCAATTGGAAGGATCGTTGCTACAATAGGATCGGTGTCCTCACGGAGGCCAAAAACGTCAGTTTTGAGGCCTCGATTACCCTAGCACCAGCTGAGTGCAGTGGGGACTGTGTGCGTAAGCCTGATCAAAACACGGGCTTGTATGCCCAAATCAGAGCAGAAAGGAAACCGGGAGGCCAAAACAAATGATACCCTCAAGACAAACATCAAGAGATGTGGCATCAGCACCACACACTGCGAGACAGTAGGCCAAGACGGGGCAATGTGGCAATTACTTTTGAGGAAAATCGCCTCGCCCTGGTCGCAAAAACACACCAGAAAATAAAGAACAGAAAACTGTGCTGTGGCAAACGAGGCCCAACTCTGCCTATCCCACACCACCGACAATGTCTGCCAACGAGTTTGCTTTTCAAGGATTGAACTCTTCTGTCACCCAAGGACACGTGTAAAATAAAACCTGCGAAAGAGACCATCATCGACCTGAAGGATCGCCAAATAAGAGATGAGATAGGACCATCGTGAAAAAGAGTGAGGCTTCATGGATAAAGGGAATTATTATAATTGGCCTGAACTGGCTCAGCGTTGGTGTTCGAGATATAGGGTGGGTGAGTTGGGGGGGGGGATTTATTTAATCAGCTTCTTGGTGGAGCAAAAGAAATGGAGCCTCTGAAATTCATGATAATCACCTTGAGTGACCGATGCATACTGGGATGCTCACACTCACAGAATTGTGTTTATTATCTTTAAGAAAAAACGTTTAACTGGAAATTTGTAATGCTTTGCTGCTGCTGTTATCTGTTGCCCGAGTCGCCCTTGAAACAGCAGAAAATTGTAACGAGTGAAGTTGTTGACCCCACACCTCTAAGGTGTATTATTATAGTCTCATCAACAACACAATGTGGATTAAGGTCTTCCTCCTGGTCGTCGAACCTCTAAGTATTTTACCCAGCAATCACAGCAATGTCCCACTTCACCTTTAAAATGATTAAACCCACACTGCTCAAACAAAAGAAATGACCAATATGACAACAGCAACCACAAACCCACCCCCCCCTGGACAAAAGTAAAACCTCTCAGCGGTGCGGCCTTCACTTGTCTGCATCCTCGAGCGCCTGCACAAGCCAGTCCCGCGTGCGCTCGTCCCCCGAGTCTGACGCGTCGCTCTCGTTGGACAGCAGCCGGGAGTAGCTGAGGCCCTTCGGCCTGGGCGCTCGCGCCTGCACCAGTCCAAACGCCGCGGCCCATATGGCTAGTAGCGCTGCACAGCCCTGGAACGTCCGCTCCACGCCCACCTCCTGAACCAGCGCGCCGCCAGCCGCGGCGCCGGCTCCCGCGCCCAGCCCCACCGCAAGCGCCTGTGCCACGGATCGCGCAGTCCGCTCGCCGACGCCCGGCGCGCATTCGAGTCCCACGCGCCGCAGCACGGCGTGCCACGCCAGCGGCGCCCCCAGACCCGACGCCGCGTATACTAGCGCCAGCGCCCACGGCGTGCGCAGGAGCGAGTACGCGAGTGCCTGCGCAGCGAACACTGTTATGCCCAGCGCGGCCGTGACGCCGGCATTCAAGTCGATGGGGCAGCGCTGGCAGCGGCGCACAAGGGCGCCGCCGCCGCGACGTAGCCAGGCCAGCAGCAGCTCGCCAGCGGCGGCCGCTGACACCGCCCCTCCCATGAGCATCTCTGAACCGCCGAGCTCGCGCATGCGGCAGAAGATGAAGCAGTCGACGACGGCGCCGGTGGCAGCCAGCACAAACAGTGTGGGCGCGCACAGCAGCGCGCCGGCGTCGGGACCACATGCCGTGCGTCGCAGGGCGCGCCGCAGCGAGGCTGCGGGGCCGGTGGGGGCCGCGGCGCCGTGCACCGGATAAGCGAGCGCCGCGAGCAGGGCGACCGCGAGCAGCGCGGACGACGTGTAGAAGTGTGGCAGCATCGAATCCACACGCTGGGACAGGGCGCAGGCGCCCAGCGCTGCTACCGATGCACCCAGCAGGCTCCACAGCTCGTGCTGCCCGTACCTGTATAGGCGGCACCAGGACACGGGCGTGGGGCATGTTACCACAGCAGCACCGGAATCAACTCCCCTTGTGCATTAAGCAGCCCCAATCATTAACCTTCTTCCGTTCCTCTCAAAGTCTCACCTCTTCTCTATTGCTCATTCTCTTCCTCTTACTCTCCCCACCTCCACTCCATTCCATCCCTCCCTTACACTTTCATGAACCCTAAGTACCCTCTATCACTCATTTCTCAATCCTTGTATGCCCCTGCCATCTTCATCATTCTAATGTCACCGTATTGTAAGCTATGTGAAGTGCCTTGAGTGAAGGTGCTCTATAAATATAAGTGAGATTAGATGTATGAGTCCGCAGTATCCTGATGAGACTCCACATGTTGGGTGATCGTGCATGTCTGTCATCCCGCCTTTTGAAGACATCGGGTTGGTGGATTGTGTTGATTTGTAAAATACACTCAATCCTGTGGGGAGTGAGCAAGTGGGTTCATGAACCAATCTATATGAACCCACTATGTATAAAGACTCATTAATTTAGTTGGCCAAAAATCCCAATGTAATACCACAGAGCTTTGGCAATTGTAGGCACCAGTTTTGGCTGTCCCAAAGTGCGCGTTACAAATTCTACAGCCTTTTTGAAATCCAATTTGCATGATGTGAAATAAATGAAATTAAAAATTAGATAGATTTATATGGTACCTTTAAACTATGGATCTCAGAGCACCAGGAACTCCCCTTAAAATGTGTCTGGATAAATAAATGGCATTACAGTACAGCCTGTTCTCCTATAACGCCACATGTTTTCATAACGCGAATGGGATATAACGAGATGCTGAATGTATTAGGGAACACATTTTTTATAATGCAGATGCGAATTGGATATAACGCTGTTGATTGACCAGAACTACGTCGCCAGAATCGGAATAAGCGGTTTCTACGGCTGCCTTGATGGAGCATCACATAAAGTGGACGGTACCCATGCGTCTCAGTCTTTGTTCAGCCTGCATACGCATCTCATGTGTTATCCCGGAATGTGCTTTACCCTATATTATGCATTATTTATCATAACGCAATTTTTCTATCACACGGTGTTCTTCAGGAAGCAACCACCACGTGATAGGAGAACACACTGTATTATATAGGACTGACAATGGGAACCTGTAAAGCAATAAATAAGATCACGGACTAAAGACACATTCCAAACAAAAAGCAGCTGTTGTTCTGATGTAATTCACCCGAGTGGTGGCCCAGGTTGTCTAGCAGCATTGGAAATTTCCTGAAAAGGAATAATTTCTGAGTGTACGAGACTTTCTGTGACATTGCCCCGCCAGGAAGCCCACGACATCAAACCCAAGTTGGAAAAAATCCCAGGAGGTGTAGACCTCCCGTTACTCCAAAACCTACTCGACCCTCCACAAACTTGCCCGAGATCCCCAAAACCAATTTGGATTCTAGCGAGACAATTGGGTGAAGCGGAGGAGGTCAACTGAAGACCGTTGGGTCAACACCGCGGAGTTCTGCCGAGGTTGCTAATAAAAGCTTCACTGAGAACCCCACCGTTGCTCCGTACTGCTTCGTTCGGCCAAGAAAACTGTGGTGGTGGATCCACCAACTGGTTGAAAACAGCGACCACTCGCATCACACAACTTTTCCATAAATGGGAAATAAAAGATGACCCACAGTGAGTGACTGAGGCCAACCGAACCAAACGATGAACTGCATCGCTAACAGCTGCATTCTACGCCCGCTCTCCGGCGGATTAGACAGTATGAGTCGCGTTTCCCTCCAAGCTATCACATGGCTCACATACTTAAACCTGGATGTGTGATTTATACGTACTTAACATCCGCTAAAAGGGACATGCCCTCGCACCCTCTATTGGTGCCTAAGTGGATATCAGGGATGCCTCCACCAGGCTCCCTTCACTGCCACTCAGACGCAGTGAGGTGTCAGTGCAACCTTAATAGAAACCCTCTGCCTCAATACAAATCCACTGCCACCACCTGCACCCAGTGTCAATACAAACCTACTGCCTCAAACTGTACCCACAGCATCAATACAACTCAGTATCAACAGGGAACCACAGCATCAACAACAATCGCAAATCCGAAGTGATACTACAGTGGAAACCCTGTTAATTCTGGAGTGGCTGAAACCTTCATTTAACCCATGAACTGAGCTATGCAGGGTCACTGTCAACGCTTCTGTTAAGAGTTCCCTCGAGCCACGTGACCGTCCTGACCCAGCACCGGTGGCCTCTGGTGCCCAAGCGTTCAATTTGAATCTCGGGAAGCCAGGACACAGTCTCACCTGTCCGTGGCATCCACCTGGTCCAGGTACTCATAGAGGGAGTCATCAGCCAGCGAGTGCAGCGGTGATGAGAGCGCCGCCCCAGCGGTGGACACAGCGAGCACCAGGGCGAACGCGCGCCACGCGGATAGCGTGACAGCTGGGCGTAGCATGGCCACTGCAGGCCTCGCCACTGGCGGCATAGCCGGTGGCGGCGAGACCGACGCGAGCTCGCCTGGGACAAGGTCATTCGAAGATATCGCACGCTCCGCTCGGCTGCCGTTCTCGTCTCCGACTGGAAAAAAGAAAAGAAAACACAAACGGCATGGGAGCTGCCGTGGCGCAATGATTCGCGCACTGAAATGCAATACGGAAGTTGCCAGTTAGATTCCATCTTCTGGTGCGGCAGTTTAAACTTTAGAGAAAATACCTCGAATCCCCCTAACATGGTTAAATTTCCATCTTTAATCCTTTCAAGACCCACATTCCAATCTCACAATACTTTACACTGCTTCTGAACACGCAAAAGTTTACTTGAACAAAGTTAAAATATGAAAATATTCCAACCTGGAATTTTTTTTTCATTTTTGATCGCGACCATCACTGTCGTCCCTTCTTTGTCCTTTCCGCCATCGTCAACTGAGCTCTTTAACTTCATCGGCGGTGCCTCCTCCTCAGACTCCCCCCACCTCGTCGACGACACGTGATTGCCGGCGTTGGGCAGCAGAGTGGTTGAACTGGGGTTGGAGCTCAACGTCGAGCTCCAGCTTGCCTTTGGCTTCTCATCTACACCAGGTGACACTGCTGACCCAGTCGGGGTTGTCGGAAGATGGTTCAGCCGAGCTTCAACCGTGGCAGAAGTTGGCAGGATGGTGTCAGGAGGAGCCGGCCTGGCGTTTAAAGGAACGGTGCTGGGGCTCACAAAACCACTGGTGACACCGTCAGAAGGCAAACGGGCTTCTTTGCCTCCAAAAAATGACCAGCTAGCACTGGAAGGTGATGAGCTGATGTTGAAATACGGCGAGTCTGCGGTAACAGATGGCGTGGTAGCATTGAAAGGTTGTGAGGTAGCGCCAAACGATGTTACAGCAGGGCCGGTGCTTACTCTGTGCGTGCTGCCTATAATCGCCTTGCCAAATGCCGCTCGTGTAATGCCGGGGTCCGTGGCGCCATCGCTTAACGAGCTCCCGTTCGCGAACTCCACAGTGGTGTTGCCGCCGCGGAAGAGCGACCACGGTTGTGCCGACGGCACTGCGGTGAGGCCGAGGGTAGCCGTGGCGCCGCATGCGAGCGCCAGCAGCATGGTCAGGCGGCGCCGGCGGCTGCGTTTGGCACAGCGCAACAGCACAGGGCCGCACACGATGTGCACCAGCGCGCGCGAGGACGCCACCAGCCCCAGGTGCAGGGGTGCAAGGCCCAGCACGCTCAGGTAGACGGGAAGGAAGGGCAGCAGAGAAGCACCGGCCGCCCCCAGCAGCAGGAAGAAGAGGCCCGAGGCTACAACAGCCCGGTCCACGTCCCACTGCTGCGCGTCGACGGGGCCGTCCGTGTAGATGTGCAGCCATGACCGCTTCTTCATGATGGCCCCTGAGTTGACGAGATCAAGGAACACAGGAGCGGCTGTCATAATCATTGCAACTAAGTACATTTGGTGTGCACTCCGTTCGTATGGTGCAGGGCTATCCCAAAGGCATCACGTTTAATAGACAGCTGTAGTCTGCTGTAGGGAGTGGACGGGTATAGTCTGCCAGTAGGAGGTTATGTTGCTTTGTGTAATTCCAATTGAGTAATTTAAGGGTAATTCAATATGGACTGTGATTTTGGCACACGATGGCCTACTCAAATGTCATCCATTGTGAAGCGGAGGGTGCATATTTATGGTTAACATATTTATGGTTAACATATTTATGGTTAATCTACCCGCAGTAATGACCAGGGCCAGTCAAATCACGAACCTCTAGAACAAGCGGTGAATGCGCGACCACTGGGCCATGTCATCAACCCAAATGACAAGGATGAAATTTCGATTTAAAGCTTTCGTGATTGCAAGGATTCATCTTCTTTGGTTCTTTCGGTAAAGTCACGTAGAATGAGAATAAAATGATAAATTGATAAAATAAAATAACACAATAATATTCTCACGACGTTTCGGCCACAACACAAGCGGCCTTCATCAGGTGAAGGGACGAGACTGTCTGGAAGGACAGCACTGGAGTGAAAAAGCCACACTCAGATCACGACCTTTAAGCTGAAAGGTCGTGTTCTGAGCGTGGCTTTTTCACTCACACAGCTTAAAGGTCGTGATCTGAGCGTGGCTTTTTCACTCCAGCGCTGTCCTACCAGACAGTCTCGTCCCTTCACCTGATGAAGGCCGCTTGTGTTGTGGCCGAAACGTCGTGAGAATATTGTGTTATTTTATTTTATCAATTTATTATTTTATTCTCATTCTATGTAACTTTACCGAAAGAACCAAAGAAGACAAGGATGAAGTGCCATGACAAAATGTGAGGATGAGGTGTGCAGCAAGTGCCGTTTAGAACCTGTGCGGATTTATATGAAACCTGTGGACCCTTACTTACTCTCCCCTCTTACCTTATCTACTCGATTCACTACCCCCTCCTCCCTCCTCTCCAGCAACTAAGGCATTCTGTGGAAAGCACTGCTTGGCAAATGCTCATTTCGAGGTCGCTCCTTCTCTTCTGCTGCCCTCCCCTCAATCTCTGGGATTATTTTCTCTGAGCCTGCTGTACTCCTGGCCCTGTTCCCCTATAGTTGTTGATACGTTATTTAATCCTTGGGACATATTAGGGGCATGAACAACGTTGATTTGTACTTAGTTGAGTACTTACACAAGTGGCTCTGCATCATTTAAATAACTGGTCTGAACAAGTCAATTTTGGCAGGTACTTGTGTATATAGCCATGTAAAAAAGCATTTGCTGTATGAGTGCACTGATACCTATAAATGAGCGTATGCAGGTATGTTCAGAAACGATTTACATGTTTCACATATGCACAGTAAATATTTAAGGCTCAAGAGAAAACATTTCCTGATTGCACAGCTATATATAACATTGACTATCCAAGGGATATGCGTTAAATGTGAAAATGCAAGCCTACATGAGCTGGGACCCATGTCTGACAAGGAGGTCCTTGCTAATAAACACTTGGGACATTTCACAGCATTGGCTTCAACAAGCATTTGGTTTGCTCCTGACTGCTGATGAGCTACTCATTGTCAACATCGGGAAACAGTTTGCTTGTGTTTAACCAATGCTGCTTAAAACATGCACTTCCAGAAGGCCTCTGTTTCCTGATGGGATGTGAAAAATGTACGTTTTGTTATGTAGGAATAAAGATGTGTGAGGGATGAATATTGTTCGCTAATGTATTGATGTATATGCTCCACAACGATGCTGAATAATTACTGTTAGTTATGTATGTTTCTGATTTATCGCATCCACATGTGCTCTCAGTCGAGTGAGGGTAACAGTCGTTTGTATGTGTTTTGAACAAAGACCAATATCCATAACGCTGCCTATTATATATCTGTTTTATTTAAAAGCAGTCTTACTCATGAATATGTTGAGTTGTCAATGTCACTTTCAAAAAAGATACTGAAGCCAAATTGCAGAACCTGGAGCCAAAGCCCGAAAACTTCGATAAAGTCACTCAAATCCTGACATGCTAGAAGAAACATCCCGATGGGATAATGGAAAAGCTTTACGTCAACCACAAACAGAGATTTGAAAAGGCTTAATCAGAACTGGTGACCAAGTTAAGCGCACCGCTGGAGTCCCTGAACCCTGCACAAAATAATGTTGGGAACACGTCACTCCAGACTTGGACATCAATCACTCCAGACTTGGACATCAATCACTCCAGCCATAAACCTGGCAGCTCCTCTGGATCCTCGGTGCCTCGATACCAACAGTGCACTGAGCACGAAATAACACGGAGCAACTGATTCCCAAATGCTGTCCTGTTCATCGGCACAAATGGACAAGCTCAAAAAACAAGCTGTCCGGAAACTTTAAAAAAACCTGATTTTTATTTTACCAGGTAACGCCCACTGAGCTATATACAGTCGATCATCGATTATCCGGCGGTGTTGGGGGCGCCGAATTTTCAAAAACGCCAGATAATCGCGTAATTATTTAAAATATCTTATTTTTGCACATTCTTGCACAACATTGTTTCAGATGGTGTATGTGTTTTTTATTGTTTTAGATGTGTTTACTATGTGAAATTGGCATAAACAAAGACAAAAAATATATCCTACTCTAAAAGGTTACTGTATTTACTGTACTGTACTTACCACGCATCATTGTAACCGTTCATTTGCAGCACTTCTTTAACATGTTGAAATGTACTCAGATTGGCTCTCCAACACAACGGTGTGCTGTAATAGTGACGGATCGGCATGTTCTGTTTACGTGGCAACCCTTACTAGTTGGCTGTGTCGGGTGGTGGAGGGTTTTAATAACACATTTATATATTTACGGGATCTAACCCAAAAACCTCTACTATCTACGTGACTTGACCGAAAGACCCAAAGAATATAACTAATGACCGTAGTAGTATCTACTGGCCCTACAGTACTATCTACCGACTCTATAGTAGTAACTTCTAACTCTATAGCAGTATCTACTGACTCTATAGCAGTATCTACTAATTCTATAGCAGTATCTACTATCACACAGCAGTGCATACCGACTGTGGTGGTACCTGCTATCACTAGATCAGTACATACTAACTGTGGTGGTACGTGCTTTCACAGCAGTGCATACCGACTGGTGGTACCTGCTATCACTACAACAGTGCATACGAACGGTGGTGGTACCTGCTTTCACTACAGCAGCGCATACCGAATGTGGTGGTACCTGCTATGACTACAGCAGCGCATACCGACTTTGGTGGTACCTGCTTTCACGACAGCAGTGCATACCGACTGTGGTGGTATCTGCTTTCACTACAGCAGCGCATACCGACTATGGTGGTAGCCTGCTTTCACTACAGCAGCGCATACCAACTGTGGTGGTATCTGCTTTCACGACAGTAGCGCATACCGACTGTAGTGGTACCTGATATGACTACAGCAGTGCATACCGACTTTGGTGGTACCTGCTTTCACTACAGCAGTGCATCCTGACTGAGGTGGTACCTGCTTTAACTACAGCAGTGCAAAGCAACTGTGGTAGTTCCTGCTATCATTACAGCAGTGCATACCGACTTTGGTGGTACGTGCTATCACTACAGCATTGCATACCGACTGTGGTGGTACCTGCTTTCACTACAGCAGTGCATACTGACTGTGGTGGTACCTGCTATGTGCTATCACTAAAGCAGTGCATACCGACTGTGGTGATACCTGCTATCACTACAGCAGCGCATACCAACTGTGTTGTTACCTGCTTTAACTACAGCAGCGCATACCGACTGTGGTGGTATGTACTATGACTACAGCAGCGTATACCGACTTTGGTGGTAACTGCTTTCACTACAGCAGTTCATACCGACTGTGGTGGTACCTACTTTCACTACAGCAGCGCCTACCGACTGTGGTGGTATGTGCTATGACTACAGCAGTGCATACCGACATTGGTGGTACCTGCTATCACTACAGCAGTGCATACCGACTGTGGTGGTACCTACTTTCACTACAGCAGCGCATACTGACTAATGGTATCTGCTTTCACTACAGCAGTGCATACTGACTGTGGTGGTACCTGCTATGATTACAGCAGTGCATACTGTGGTGGTACCTGCTATCACTACAGCAGTGCATACTCGCTGTGGTGATACCTGCTATGATTACAGCAGTGCATACTGACTGTGGTGGTACCTGCTATGATTACAGCAGTGCATACTGTGGTGGTACCTGCTATCACTACAGCAGTGCATACTCGCTGTGGTGATACCTGCTATGATTACAGCAGTGCATACTCTGGTGAAACCTGCTTTCACTCCAGCAGTACATACCGTGGTGGTACCTGCTTTCACTCCAGCAGTGCATACTGTGGTGGTACCTGCTATGATAACAACAGTGCATACCGACTGCGGTGGTACCTGCTATAATTACAGCAGTGCATACTGTGGTGATACCTGCTTTCACTACAGCAGTGCATACTGACCGTGGTGGTACCTATGATTACAGTACTGCATATGGACTGTGGTGGTAACTGCTATGATAACAGCAGCGCATACTGTGGTGGTACCTGCTATGTGCTATGATAACAGCAGCGCATATTGACTGTGGCGGTACCTGCTATGATTACAGCAGTGCATACTGTGGTGGTACCTGCTTTCACTCCAGCAGTGCATACTGACTGCGATGGTACCTGCTATGATTACAGCAGTGCACACTGTGGTGATACTTTTCACTACAGCAGTGCATACTGACCGTGGTGGTACCTATGATTACAGCACTGCATGCTGACCGTGGTGGTACCTGCTATGATTACAGCAGTGCATTGTGACTGTGGTGGTACCTGCTATGATTACAGCAGTGCATACTGACTGTGGTTGTACCTGCTATGATAACAGCAGTGCATACTGACTGTGGTGGTACCTGCTATGATAACAGCAGTGCATACTGACTGTGGTGTTCAACTGCTATCACTACAGTAGTACATGCTGACTATAGCAGTATATATGGACTCTATAGCACAAAGTACTCACCTAACAGAGTAGAGTGGTGAGGCCTAGTCCCGTGCAGAGCCCCTAGCCTCGCCTAGATTGCACAGCCGGCCGAGGTGGTACCTTGGCAGGCTGGGGGCTGGGCCGCTATCCCCCCACCATCCCCCCACCTGTGCTACAATAATACTATCTAAGCGCTATAATATTAGTATCTATAGTAGTAAGTGCACACTTTGGGGTGGGGGGGGGGAAGAGGACATGACCCTTTGATCAATTTAACTCAGCGTTGTGTGTATTTTTTTTATTTTGAACGTGAATGGGAAATCCCCTCCACCGATGACGCGTGTGCGTTGTTAGGGGCAACCCCCGGGCGGCCTTAGCGGCGCGAGTAAATAATTAAGTAATGTGGAATATCACTTTATTGCTATTTTAACTACTTTAAAGTTGACGGATGGGAAAACGGAATAGCAAAACACGGGCTAATTTGTCAGTTACTCCTGAGATATATGGAATTGTAATTGTTTTAACAATCTGATCGCTTTCAGCAGTGTTGATTTGCGATCGTGATTTGGCATTGAGTGCTCTGTTAATTTGAGCATTATTGTAGCCATTCTGTCGTAGTGCTTCTTTAACGTGTTTGAGCTCTCTCACTAGACTTTCCACCATCTGACACTGTTTTAGCCTGATGTATGAGCGTCTTGATAAGCGAGGATTAATTGTTTATGTGGCAGATGCTATATTGGACAGACGGGACGTAACATCAGCACAAGACTAAAAGAACACCAAAGAAATATTAAATTATCTCAAACACAACTGTCGGCAGTGGCAGAACATGCTTGTCAACAAGGACACTCAATTGATTTGGATAACGTTGAAGTGTTGTGTAAAACTAATTATTACTGGCAAAGACTAATTAGAGAATCAATTTAAATTGAGAGAAACAGAAATAACTTTAATCGCTCTGATAGCTATAGGCTTAGTGCGGCTTGGAAGTGTATTATTAAATCATACATATTACAATTCCTTATAGGGGAAACACATACTAATTTACAGATTACTAACGTAGCATATATTCACAATAACACACATTACAACGCATTACTAATCATAACCATTGACTGATTACAAACCGATTATATAATTACTGCACCTGGATGAGTTGAATGATGACGTCACCCTGCTGCTCTATTTAAGACCGAGAGCAAGTGAGGGTTTTACCATTCTGGCGAATTGCTCGATGATGCTGGATATAATTACCAGCGAAACGTCGTACTAAAACTGTAAATGTTGTGGATTCACTCTTCAACACACCGGTGGGCTAAAGTAGTGAATTATTTGTCTTTTGTCAACGTGACATTTTTTTTGCTGATTGGCCGTGTGGAGGGTTACGACACATTTATAAATAATGCGATCTAACCCAAAAACCTTTATTAAGAATAGCTACTTTTTTTGTCAAGCACATGGTGCCGATCGCAGGACTGGTTACAGCCTTTAGAAGAGTTTTGGCAGATCAGTCCGGGACCGCCGGATGTCGGGAGCCGGATAATCGATGATCAACTGTAGCTCTTTTTCAGAAACGACGGGGCCACAAATGATAGCTCAACTAAGTTTCTTATCACGTGGAAATTTATAGCAGCCAAATACTCTAAATGCAGAGGGAAAAACCGGAGGACACGGCGCGTACTGTAGTTGGCGCGTACTGTAGTGGCGCGTACTGTAGTTGGCGCGTACTGTAGTTGGCGCGTACTGTAGTGGCGTGTACTGTAGTTGGCGCGTACTGTAGTGGCGTGTACTTCCATTTTCGTGTACCGCAGTACAGTAGTTTGCGTGTACGATACTTTAGTTTGCGTTTACTGCAGCGTGTGTACTGGAGTACTGTTGCCTGCGTTCACTGTAGTTTGCGTGTACAGTATTCCACGCGTGTATGTGTGCTTTAGACTGCGTGTACTGTCGTATTATACGTGCACTGTAGTTGGCGTGTAGGTACTACTGTCATGTGTGTACTGTGGTGTGTGTATTGTAGTCTTATTGTACTGCAGCGAGTGCTGTAGTGTGCGGGAATGTATTTGTTACACGGATGAACTTTTCCCAGTTCCCTGACTCTTTTACAAGGGAGATTCGTGAACGCATCAACAAATCAAATCGACCAATATTGCAGAGAACAAACAGGGTCCATAACGACTATTGCACACCTGAGTGTGCATGCTGTAGTACTGTCGCGTGAGGTACTGTAATCTACTGTAGTGTTTACTGCAGTGAGTGTACTGCAGTGTGTAGTAGTACTGTTGTGCGTGTACTGTAGTGTGTCGTAGTACTGTAGTGTGTGTACTGTCGGTATTACTCACAGATAAACTCGAGATCACCTCCCGCGCCACGGAGACTCCGAGTCACTGCACGCCAATGCTTCCTGGTGGCGTCACTTCCGGATCGCCACGTGGCGCCAAACTCGAAACGTCAGACATACTCCTAGATGCAGCCGCTCACACGGGCAGTAGGGCAGTGGCGCGCCTACTGATTACAGACCTGAAGTACCTGTGCTGAAACTTCTAAATGTCATGGCAGGGGGTGAGTCGATCCATACAACAACCACTGTTGACTTCCTCGCAAAGTGGTGCCGATTTTAACGACCCCCGGAGGGAGGGAATGATGGGTCCGAGTCGACCACTGAAACCAGGGTAGGAACCTACCAGTGACGTGCGGTGAGGTCAATGGTTGGGGAGGCACTGGCTAGTATCAGAGCCAGATTTACAAACATATGAACCTGATAGAGGGAGCTTCAATTCACAATTCAATTGGCAGGTTGCACAATGACTCTTGGTTAGGTGGCCGTATGTTTCATATTTCATATCAGCATTCTTTACAACACACGCATACAGGTACGTATTCGATTCACGTATTCATACTCATTCAACACAAATGACAATATATATTGCATGGTCTTATCTTTACTTGCAAATGAAGTCCATTTGCCTATCCTTCTGGACAAATATGTCAGTGACTTTGTTGTAGAAGTCCTCTATTCTCTTTTAGTTTTAAAAGTCTCTCCGTCTCAACAGAGACGATTGCCAGGGATGAAAGTCGTCCTTGGTCAGTCCGATTCCGACTATGTTTTGAGTAGTTTCAAAGCAGAGAACGACCTTTCAACGGACGCTGTTGTAGCTGGTATAGTGAGCACCAGCTGGAGTAACTTTGTCGCCTCGGGAACCGTCTGCATCAGATCATTCTGGGTCAAAAAGATGAGGAGCTGTCCGGGTGATTTACATTCGTTCCTCATAATTTGTGAACTATACAATCCGATAAGGTCAGCCTTTAGTCTAACAAAGTCAAAGTACCTTGCATATTTTGATAGGCTCTGCAGTTTGGTGTCATCGAAATGTTGTGACATTTGATAAAATTTCGTGCACTCAACCAAACCAAGGAAAGTTAGCTCACCGAAATGATCAATCCCAGCTTTAATTTGAATACTGATATTGTCCAGAATGTTATGAAACATTATTTTCCTCTCATCTCTGATCGGCTATTTTACTTCGGCCATTGTCTGTCAGGCCAAGTGTGACGCATTTCTGTTCGAATCGATCATAGAAGCTGTCAAACTCTTTGTCTCTGGCGTTCCACAACTCCCATTGTGTCGCGGATTCGGGCACAGCAGAATCCAATGTCCATTATTTTATTCTGCAGCACACGAAAGAGTGCATCGGTTTAATTGAAAATGCCCTCATGCCATTTATGAAGAAGCAGGTTGATGATTTTTACAGCCAGAGATCATATCCGGCGGCCGTCATCTGGGTGTCATTGTCCCAACTATCGGTATTTTCGCTAATAATCCGGAACACAGCACGCAGATCAGATTGGTAGCTGCTGATCGTCTGAACTAGTCTAGAATTTGAGCTCCATCTCGTGGGCGCTGCTCTTGGTGAACGTCGCTTCACAACATCGTCCAGTAGCTGGGGTGCGCTTGGTCGATTTATTGAAAAACGTCGCAGGTCCCTCAACTGTTTAAAAAAACTTTTACACTCAGGCATACATTTTGCTGAATGCGAGAGCACCAGGTTCAATTTGTGTCCATAACAATGGGTAAACGTGGCTTCAGGTTCCTTTTCTTTAATCTTAGCCTGCACCCCATTAACATCTGATGCCATCACAGAGGCTCCGTCCTAAGTCTGAGCTACCAGCTTTTCAACGCAATTGTATTTCCCCAACACTCCCAAAACATAATCAGCAATAGCCAGTGCTTGTCTGTCATCACTGACATCATCAAATCCCAAGAACGCCTCTCTCACCTCACAAGTCACTTGTAGCCACATAATGCAACATTACAGAGACCTGGGCTTTGTGACATCCGTTGTCTCGTCTACTTCGACAGCAACAAATGGGGCTGCATTAATCTCTTCTTTGATATCATTTCTAATTACCACACCGACTGCTTAGATTAAATCGTTCTGTATTCTGTTTGATAAGCCAGAAAACACAGTGGATGTCTCCAAATGTCCAGCTAACTTTTTATCTTTCTCAGCAAAAGCATGTAATAGCTCCACATACACTCGTACCTCGGTATACGACCGCTTTGGAATACGTGGAATTTGGTATACGTCGTGTTTTAACGAGAAAAAAAATGCCTTGTAATACGACGTCTTGCTTGGGAATCGATGCGCTTGCTAGAACTTGTATGGGTTGGGATGAATCACCCGTTCACGACTCAAACAAAGCGCCGCTCCTCAGTCTGCCTGCACAGTAGATCTCGTTCAGTGCACAACCCTTGCTATATATTTTTTTCAATTTATTTTAATTTATTTATGCATTTATTTTAATTTATGTATGCATTTTAGTAATAAGTAGTGTCTAAATTATTTTTTACAACCCCATTAATGTATAATATGCCATATAAAATATAATTTCTTATACTCTGGAAGGGATTATTTCCTTTCGCTTCATTTCTTATGGGAAAAATTCGTTTGGTATTCACGTCATTTTGGGTAAAAGTCCTACCTTCTGGAACGAATTAACGACGTATACCGAGGTACCACTGTAGTTGCCACGATTGTAAGAGCTTGCACTCTCATTGTTACCACGAAATGCTAATTCCTGTTTTGCTAGGAAGCAGGTCGCATTAATAAGGTATTTTAAAACCTCACGGTTTTCCTTTACCTTAGCATTGTGGATGCTAATATTTAATCTCCGCTGTTCATTCCAAGCCAGATCTATCCTTGAAGCTCCAAAAGTTTTAAAAGCAATTTGGCTTTGAATGTGAGTTGTCGATTTTTCATGTTTGTTGAGGCTCCTTGGTAGATTTTTCAAGTCACAAAATCCCACGTTAGTCCAAACGTTGTCGGCAGTGGAGAACAGAAGGCAGGGAAAGCAGTAAAGGCGATTCTTCGTAGCACAGCCACACAGCCAGTCTTTTCGTTGGTACCACTCCCTTTGAAACGACCATGTTATTTTTTGTCCCTTCGTTTGAAGTAGGTCCTTAAGCTCAGGCATTGGTCTTCCATTATTTATCACTCCCTGTTTTGATTGAAAGTCCAATTTTGAGAATTTTTTAAGGTTAAATATAACGTTTTCCATTTTTGCAGCCACTGGAATTTTTTTGCTCGAGCTGGCTAACGTGGAGGGAGAGCGAGCGTCAATTACGTGGGCTCAAGACACGCCCCCCTAAGTGAGGCAGATGTGATAGCTGCCTCACTGAGGGGGGCGTGTCTTCACTGAGGGAGGCGTGTCTGACACGCCCCCCTCAGTGAGGCAGATGTGATAGCTGCCTCCCCTGATGCTTTTTCATTGCAGTTTTATGACGAGACCAGCGAAACCTAAATATCTTTATACACATACGTGAAATAAGTTACTTGGACTATGGAAGGCGTGGATATGTAATGAAGGGGTCTACAAACATTACATTGGTGACATAGAGATAGTAACAGGCACGCGCTTATTGCCCGCGCTCCATCCAGTTTCTGAGGGGTTGCGCAATCAGAGGAGAGACTGAGCGCGTCGCTGCCTCACCTCTCGTCTCCCTCTATTTGCTGCGAAGCTCCGCAAATTTGGCTGTTTTTACTATAAAAAAAACGATTGGATTCATATAGAAATGACATTTATAACAGATGAGTGGAATAATCTTAATATTTATTTTATAATTTACTTTCCGTAACAGCTATTTTAATTGGAGTATGACAGGTGAGGCTCTGCCTCCCCTGCCTCCCCTGCCTCCCCTGCCTCCCCTGCCTCCCCTGACCGCACGTCCCTGGAACCTACAACCTTCCGATTGCGGGGCCGCTCACTCGACCGCCGGGCCACCCGGCCAGATGAGATGGCTGCAGTGTAAATGAACAAGGCTCCAAGTCGCAGACCCCAACGCTGCAACGTGCGTCGTTCTCAGTGTCTCACAGAGCAAGACAAAGCATTGTTCTCGGCAAGTGTCGCATGGAAATTGGCACCATGTAAAGCTATTGTTTTAAATAGAGCAGTTAAATGTGTATGTGTGGGGGCTAATGCCCCCTCCCCACTCCCCATTAGATGGGGGCTGATCTCCCCCTCCCTCACCACGAGCGGGGGGGGGGGGCACGTCTACTTGGTGGGGGCTGAGGCCCTTCCCCCCACGTGTGTCTCACCGTTAACACCGCAGTGCACGCATAGACACAATTGACACTCGCGTGTGTCTCACCGTTAACACCGCGGTGCATGCACAGACACTAGTGACACTCGCGTGTGTCTCACCGTTAGCACCGCGGTGCACACACAGACACTAGTGACACTCGCGTGTCTCACCGTTAACACTGCGGTGCACACACAGACACACGTGGGCGATGGGAAACCGTCGGTATTTTAATATGCGTGCGCGTCACACCCACACTGATTTATAGTCACCCACATACCGTCTTACGCCGATCGCTGTCCCACCGCTCTTCACATGCACACATGCACCACGCGTCAAACGTCAGTCTGTGCTAATATTTATTTACCGGAGGGAATAGGGGACCCCTGTTTATGGCCCCCTTCAGCCGGCACCCATCGTACAGCGCCTAACCTCCTATCACCTAGCCGTCGCATCGTGCGTTTACCCTCCAAGCTCGAGCTGTGACCTACTCACCTCTTCAGCTGCACGATGGGGGTTGGGGAAGATGCCCACCTCGGAGACTTTGCCTGGGCAATCGTTTTCAGCCGCACCCTGCAGGTGTCCCACGGACGCTGAGGGCGGCTGGTATTCTCTCCCACTCCAGAAGAACTCTGAGTCAATCTTCCCTCCTTATGTTCCCAAGGCCTGTTAACCCCCGGGTCATGTGACGTCATCCTGCGCATCCAATTGAATCCTCTTTCCGGCCGTTTTGAGCGCTCTGGCCATTGGGGGGAGGGGGCTCGCGTCATCCCCCCCTTCCCATTGTCTCTGTGCCTGCGTTCCCCACCGTTGACTCACCGATAATCCCCTCGCTCCCTCCAACTTAAATCAACTCTTATATGCCTAGGGGCTTTTCCCTTCCACCCCACTGTTTACACTGCCGCTGGGTGCTGGCCTTGAGGTCCCACCCCTCCGTGTTGTGTATGCTTCATCGTGGCCGGCCTGTAAAGCTCTATGCCCCCTTTTTGGGGGGGGCGCTATGTAATCCGGTCTGGGGGGCTCAGCCAATTTCCTGGTCCGGGGAAACCGTGGACGTCCCTGTCAATGGGGTCCTCGGGTGAAAACCCATCGCACCAGGCAATCCCTCCTCGAGACCCTACGGGGGTGCATGTGAGTGTTTAGTGGGGCGTGCGTGCGTTCGTGGGGGGGGGGGGGGGTGCGAGGAGAGGGTAGCGCCGGCCGAGCTGCTCCACTGCGGTGGCACCACATATGCACACACCTTGGTTTAAAGCGTTGTTAAACGCGTTGATGCACAGGCAATGATAGACAGGCAAGCGGCTGGATTGGCCAATATAACATAGACAACAATGACAATTGAGATAAAGGATAAATGTTTATTCTTACTCTGTGTTGAGGAGTTCCCGACGACGACTCGGAGACGGCTTGAAGCTAAGGGCTTTTGCCAAAGGTTTATTAAGTGTATTACAATAACACAAAGGGTGGGACAACTTCCCAGGGGTTAGGGGTCCTACACTAAGTCCTGGTCCAGCCCGGCTAGCTCCAGTCTCTCTCCCTCGAGTCGGATGGGGGCACTAGCCAACCCCACCGACCGGGAAGAGCAGCACCTCCTATGGCTACCACCGGCTTAACTCCTGACTCTCGTCGATCCCTCTCTACCCCTGGTTCCCTCTCCACCCTTCTCACTCTGCCCGTTCCCACAGTGACCCCGCTTTCGTCACAGGGTCCCCCTTAAATACTAGACGAGACATGACGTCATCGAGCCGCCCAGCGCGCATGATGCCACGTTCCGTGACGTCATCGCACTGGACGGCACACATGACGTCACGTCCCCATTTTACTCCTCTACATTACCCCCCCCTGTGAAAAGAAATTCAGCCGACTCGGCTGTAAAGAACATAAAAGTAGAGGAGTGCTGGAACCCAAACAACCACATTTACAACAACTGACAACACCTATGGAAGTGGCTACGAAGACGGACCGCCCCCAAAACCAAACACAACACCAGGGCAGCCCGACAACAATAAAGTCAATTTTATGAACCCCACATCACTCGGTACGACAATTTTTTCAGCCCAACCATAATACAACAACCGACACTTGGGCAGCCCCGACAACACATAAACCGACAATTTTGGCGATGAGGGCTGGAGGCCGACGGCAGCGGTCCATCTGGTCTTCACAGAGCGCCTGCCCCAGCGCACACGCGCTGCAGACCCGCCTCCCCATGCGGCATCAACCGCCAGGCCAGGCACCGCGCCAGCTAGTGACAGGCCCCAGGAGAGCTGCAGCAGCCCAGCGCTCCTCCCTCCAGACCGGGGCAGGCCACTCGTGGCAGCACCAGGAGTGAGCTGGGGAGGGCGAGTGGAGGCTCCCCCCCCCCTCCCGCCTCTGCAGCCAAAACCCCAGGTGCGCGCCGGCCCGAGCTGGGGCTCCTGCTGCCCACCCCGCGGCGAGATGCGCAGCCGCGGCATCGGCATGGCACTGCGCAGCACTGCGAGGTGCAGAGCCGCGGCAGCGTCGGCGGCTCACCCCCCAGGCGCGGCTGCGGAGAGGGGTCGTGGCGCAGCCGGCAGGCCAACCCCACGACCGCGGCGACATGCGGAGCCGCGGCGGTGGGCGCGGCAAAACCCGCAGGCACGGCGAGGGGCGGAGCCGCGGCGGCCCTCCCCGCAGGCGCGGCGAGGTGCAGAGCCGCGGCGGAACCCTCGGCCCACTCCGGAGCCACGGTGACGCCGGCGGCCCACGCCGCGGCCACGACGACGTGCTGAGCCGCGGGCACGGCAAACACCGCAGGCACGGCGGCGTGCGGAGCCACGGCGGCACCCGCGGTAACTTCGGCGGCGCGGTGAGGTGCGGAGCCGCGGTAGCGGTGCACGGGGCCGCGGTGACACCCGCGGCCCACCCCGCCTGCGCGGCGACGTGCGGAGCCGCGGCAGCACCCGCGGCAACCCACGCGGCGCGACGAGGTGCGGAGCCACGGCCGTACCTGGGGCCCCCCCGGCGGGCGCAGCGTGGTGCGGAGCTGCGGCGTCGCCGCCAGCAGACCTCGCGTGCTCGGCGGCATCCACGCCTCCCGTGGCGCCCCCGTCGGGAACATGGCGCCAATCTTAAAATTAGCGGGAAGCGGGTTGGCGGGAATCCGCCGCTCCCCTCCAAAATGCGTGTCGAGCGCGCGCACCTTTGCCTCCACCTCCTCGATCTGGGCGCAGAGCTGTGCCATCGGCCACGTGAGCAGCTCCAGTAGCTCCGCGAACGCGCTCCCCGCCCCCGGCGGCACCCCGCTGGCACCCCCGGACGCCTTCTCCATGTTGATTCGGGCGCCGAGCTTCGCCATCGCCTGCGTGAGCAGCTCCAGCTGCCCCGCGAACGCGCTCCCCGCGCTTGGCGGCGGAGCGCTGGCACCCCCGGACGCCTTCTCCTCCCGCTCCGTCCCCTTCCTCTTCTCAGGGGCCGTCACCGGGGCCCCGGACTCCGGGGTCACTGCCGAAGCCTCCTCCATGCCGTCTTCATCCTCCGATCGTCTCGTCGGTGGGTTCTTGCGTGTCGCTCCCGATGTTGACATAGTGACGGCAGCGCAGACACTCTGACACCAGTTGTTGAGGAGTTCCCGACGACGACTCGGAGATGGCTTGAAGGTAAGGGCTTTCGCCAAAGGTTTATTAAGTGTATTACAATAACACAAAGGGTGGGACAACTTCCCAGGGGTTAGGGGTCCTACACTAAGTCCTGGTCCAGCCCGGCTAGCTCCGGTCTCTCTCCCTCGAGTCGGATGGGGGCACTAGCCAACCCCACCGACCGAGAAGAGCAGCACCTCCTATGGCTACCACCGGCTTAACTCCTGACTCTCGTCGATCCCTCTCTACCCCTGGTTCCCTCTCCACCTTTCTCACTCTACTCGTTCCCACAGTGACCCCGCTTTCGTCACGGGGTCCCCCTTAAATACTAGACGAGACATGACGTCATCAAGCCGCCCAGCGCGCATGCCACGTTCCGTGACGCCATCGCACTGGACGGCACACATGACGTCACGTCCCCATTTTACTCTACATCTGTACTGGGAGCAAGCAACAAGCCAACTCAGGAGAGAGTACAGCGCAGGCATTACATGCCATTTATAATTGTTTGTTTCTCCAGGAACGCCTCAAAACATTTTGAGGAGGGTTCTGCCAAGTGTCCGTGTGTGATGATTGTTGCTCCGTATTCCCAATTGAGTTATTTTTCTAATTCGGCGAAATTGCACAAGATTGTCTGCGTGGTTGTGCACGCGTGATGAACGTAAGGGCACTGAGTGCGTGCCCCGTGTGGGCGGAAGGGGGAGAGCGACTTTGGGAGATATCTTCATCACTGTTGGACGAAAGCCATCCCAAGCGGCCACCGCCTCTCATGATCCTGCGATGTTAATCCACCCAGCATCTGCGTATGAACTGGAGTACTCGCTCCATCTCTTCGGTGGATGAACCCCCAGACACGTTCGCTTCATCAGCCATCCCATTTCGCAAAGTGTTTTGCACACACCCCCCTTATAAGTTCGGATGTTGTCATTAACCTGCGTGTGTTCTCTAATCCACGTTAACCAACCTACCTGTCAGTTTAACAGGTAGGCTTTCGCGACCAATATCCATAAGAGGTTTTTTTACGGGGTTAGATCACATAAATGTGTCGTTTAAACCCGACACAGCCAACTAGTAAGGGTTGTCATGTAAACAGAACATGCAAATTCGTCACTACTGGCTTGGCTCTCCAACACACCGGTGTGCTGTACTAGTTACAAATTGGCATGTTCTGTTTACGTGACAATCCTAATTGGCTGTCGGGTGGTGGCGGGTTTTAACGACACATTTATATATTTACGTGATCTAACCCAAATAAAACCTCTTATGGATAACTACGTGTTCTCTAATCCACGTGGTAACTAGCCGTTCTCGAATCCACGTGTTAATCCGCGTGTTTTCTTATCCACGTGTTGACCAGCGTGTGTTCTCTTATCCACGTGTTCCTGTTGGGAGACTTTGAGCTGGCGCGGCCCAGACGCTGGGATGGGCAGATACATTTATCCCCAGGATAAATTATTTGAATGTACAATACTGAGGTTGAGCTTGGTTAGTACTTCAATGACGGGTTTCTTAGGATCATGTGTTGTAAGGTTGACTGCGAGGTGGCCAGGAGATGGAAGTACATAAATTGATTATTGAATGTCTGAAGGGGTTTCTTATTATAATTGTTTTCCCGACACGAAGCCAACCTCTCATTATTGACCAAATATCCAGATGTAGCTGGATCCCCTGAAAAAGTCTTGTGACTCAATGAAGCTTCCCAAAGTAAAATGCATTACAGTACTTCAAAGTGCATTACACATTATGAAAATATCACCTGGGTTAGCAAAGATGACTGAGCTATTATCAACCCACTGCTGGATGAATGCCTCAAGCTGCCGCCACCTTTCACGATCCGACGATGTAACAATGGGTGTACTCTCCAATGCGTTCCACTTCTGAGCTGCCACTCCAGTTATTATTCATGACCAGATGCCATTATCCCATCTCACGATGTGTTCTGTCGAAGCCCACTTTTATTAAGTTTTGATGAGGTAATTTAACCTGCGTACATGCATGCTTATTTATGCAACTTTCAGTTCTATATTTGTATCATTACCGTGCATCTGAATCGTCAGTAGCCAATACGCAACGATTTGGACAACGGTACATTGGTGTTTACTTTCATTATCAAGTTCAGTGTTCCATTAAAAACAATTCATGACATCATTTGGAGATAAGGGGCTGTCCATAAATGACGTCACGCGATTTTGGACGATTTTTGACCCCGCCCCCATCAGTCAGACCCCCCATAAAATAACGTCACAAAGCTCTGCCCCCACCCCCCCCGCCAAATATAAATCATGCTTCAAATCGCTTTAAACTATTGTCATTGTAGTGCGTATTGTAGAAAACATTAAAAAGTCTATTTAACTAAGTAGAACGTGTTGTATTTCGATTTAAAGCTTTCGTGACTGCAAGGATTCATCTTCTTTGGTTCTTTCGGTAAAGTCACGTAGAATGAGAATAAAATAATAAATTGATAAAATAAAATTACACAATATTCTCACGACGTTTCGGCCACAACATAAGCGGCCTTCATCAGGTGAAGGGACGAGACTGTCTGGTAGGACAGCGCTGGAGTGAAAAAGCCACGCTCAGATCACGGCCTTTAAGCTGAAAGGTCGTGATCTGAACGTGGCTTTTTCACTCCAGCGCTGTCCTACCAGACAGTCTCGTCCCTTCACCTGATGAAGGCCGCTTGTGTTGTGGCCGAAACGTCGTGAGAATATTATTTTATCAATTTATTATTTTATTCTCATTCTACGTGACTTTACCGAAAGAACCAAAGAAGATAGAACGTGTTGTCTATATTTAAAGTTGCGCATATTGATGTGACGTCACATTTCTCAACCCCTCCCCCCCAGGTGCGTGATGTCATTTATGGAGGGCCCCTAATTTAGGACGGCGTTTTGTTTCATATTTTAAGCTCGTTAATCACCGTAAATACAATTAAAGCTAATTCAGGGCCGATGGTAAAACACGTTTGGTTAAGATTATCGAGTAAAAATGAAATGTCAATTTGAAATTATATTTAATTTTAAAACATAAGTGCTGTATTTAAAAATACAGGATGTTTGGTGTCTGAGCGAGTTATTTGTATGTGTAGTGCTTCAATAAAGACATACACACTACACGAGTTGAGGCGAGTCTTTATTTAACACTTCCCTTACGGGACGGGTTCTATAATTGGTGTAAACGCGTCACACTGTGTAACACAGACTGACACTGTCACACTGTGTAACACTATGTAACACTGTGTAACTAACACTGAGTAACACGATGTAACACTGTGTAACACTGTAACAGTGTAACACGATGCGACACTGTGTAACACGATGCGACACTGTGTAACACGATGCGACACTGTGTAACACGATGCGACACTGTGTAACACGATGCGACACTGTGTAACACGATGCGACACTGTGTAACACGATGCGACACTGTGTAACACGATGCGACACTGTGTAACACGATGCGACACTGTGTAACACGATGCGACACTGTGTAACACGATGCGACACTGTGTAACACGATGCGACACTGTGTAACACGATGCGACACTGTGTAACACGATGCGACACTGTGTAACACGATGCGACACTGTGTAACACGATGCGACACTGTGTAACACGATGCGACACTGTGTAACACGATGCGACACTGTGTAACACGATGCGACACTGTGTAACACGATGCGACACTGTGTAACACGATGCGACACTGTGTAACACGATGCGACACTGTGTAACACGATGCGACTGTGTAACACGATGCGACACTGTGTAACACGATGCGACACTGTGTAACACGATGCGACACTGTGTAACACGATTCGACAGTGTAACACGTGACAGTGTAAGTCTAACACTGTAACACTATGTAAGTGTCACACTATGTAACACTGTAACACTATGTACCCCCCTTACACACGAGGCGATTCAAGATCCCAGCCCGACGACGTGACCCGACCCACCGAGTGTTACCCACAATGAAGACCCCCCTTTTACTGGAGCACGCTGCCCTTGTATCCCCCGAGCGGGGTCTTCCCCCCCGCCCTCTGGCTACGCCCTCATTCTGTCCCTTGATTACCTGCAGGACAGGATTTACCGGCATTACATTGGAACAAATATAAATTATGCGATATGCAATATTGTTTACATGTTAGCTTCTCCCCGACAGACCCACTGTGATTGGCAACTTTATCTGTTACTCAAAACACGTCTGCTGTATCAAATTATAGCTTTAACTTGTCCACACGTCTTTATATTAAAAATTACTTTTATAAATTTGATTGTACAGTAATCTCGGTTTACGTCAGGGATGCGCTCCTGAAGGGTGACGAATATCAAAAAGCCGTAATTCAAAGCATTTTCACAAAACAATGGAATTGGGGGGGGGGGGGGTCCTAACGTCGCCACTTCACACGTTTTGCTTTTTATTACCCTTTTTTTTGGTTGACAGTTATATTCATATTTAAATACTATTTGAGTAATATTTTTCTTACATTTGGTACTGGGCTGGCTTGGCTTGCTGGGTAGGTGGCGTTGTGCAGGCAGACACTAGCTCACACACACACACTCGCACACTCGGATCCATACACTTACATACAGGATCACGCGCGTGCGTCTCATCTTACCGGCAGTGCCGAACAGTGGACATCTAATTTCACTTCTGCGGTAACACTATTACACTGCATTTTAGCCACAGATAGATCAGTCACTTAAAACACGCTTAGGAGGCGTGATGCTTAAGGATCACGTACCCACGTTACATTAAATTACAAAAAAATAATGTACTTAACACTAGTGTAGTACAGCACTTAAGTTAAATTAAAATTATACAGTGTCTAAGATAGTATATTATTTTAAAAAATCCCCAAAATACTGCACGTAAATAATATATTGTAATATACAGTAAATTTATTTATACACGATGCAAAGTAGTTTGTGTACAGGGTAGGTGGTGAAGGCGCTGGATACGAGAAAGGACGATGTCAGTGACATGGGTCGAGGCGACGCAAATCGCGTCGTGGTATTAATCAAGTGATGACATTTGTGAAACAGCGTAAAAGGGGGGGGGGGCAAACTTACATCTGGGTATTACTGGAATACATGTTCAAAAAGGCACTCGTAAAGCCACCAACATCGATTGCCAGTGTCGATATTGGATACGTGGAATTTCCAGAAGTGGCTCAGAAATGCCAACAGATGGGCACGGTTTTGTGTAGGCCTGTAGCATTTCTCTGCCACGCGATTCAATGAATTGTTATGATTTGGGGTTTGCAATTCAGATCAAGAATCCAGTCATTTAACATTGTGTGTACATTATAGCACCTCGTGGCCACACAGGGGTCATGTAAAATTATACAAAATACAGATCGTTTAAAGTAATCGGTTCTCACGCATTCTTTTATGCATTTATCATTAACGTTACAATTGATTTTAATTGATGATCACCATTCAGCGGTTTAAACATGAGGCCACTTCAACAATGCTCTTTTGTTGAATACCTTGCAAAAAGACAAACCATCTCTAAAGGCTCGCATCTGGTTACACAATAAACACACCACCTCTGTGTAGAACAGAAGTTATATTTTTTGCAAACGGTATTTATTCACATCGTGGATGATACATGTTAAAACAAAAAATAACAAATCAACAAACACCAGATTCTATGGTGAAACGACAAACACCAGATTCCACGAGGGTGCCCTCCGACAGCCTCGGTTGGCGAGGCTTTGAACGACGGCACAAAGAGGCCTACGCTAGTAAACAGCAGCGCTGTTCAGCAAGCCCCTAATTGTGGGAGGAATAGGTCTACAAGCTTCTGTATTACAATCAGTGAATTGCAATATTGGTAAGAGAAATGAAGAAGGCTTTAAAAATTAACAAAGGTCATAACAATTCACTGCTGCACCTATAAACTCAAACCCAGTTTAGCCCCAAAATTTCAAGCGTATGCACCGAGGCAAGTGGGGGTGAAATGGACGTTATATGGTGATAGGTTGTGGCTACCGGTTTTAGAGCATTACTGGGCATGTCTAATGCATCAGACCCGATATGCACCGTCCGCCAAATACACTCAACGACGACTGGTTGGCTATCTGTGGTCACCTCGTAACCGGCGGGCAGAGGCTTGATGGGGGAAGGAGGCAATCTTCTAAGCGTCGAGCTGTGGTCGGGCGAGTCTTCCACTCCGTGCGCTGTTCAAACACAGAAGCGCTGGATAATTAGAACCGAGTGCTTTTGACTGCTTTCCGAGATAAATGTTGGCTCTGGCAAAACCACGTTTTTTCCCAGCTGGTTTTCTGTTGGGCACGCCTGGCAGGTCGCTTACTTACTTTGGCAGATGCCGCTGCATCTGCCAGTCAGTTAGAACAATTGTTTGGCGGGGTTGGCAGCAGTGTAGATACAAATAGAACATACCACTGTCACATATGAAGCAAATTATAGTATTGACTGGTAGAGCACAGTGGATAAAACACCAAAGCAATCTACAATATTCCCAAGCCTATAAATAAGATCGTAACGAGGATCTGATTAATATATCAACGTGAGTTGCAACATGCACATGCATTAGCAAGTACTGTAATGATTAATATACCTCTTTAAAGGCATATTTTTCAACCTTTTCCCAAGTAGCATAATCAAGTTTTTGACATTCAAAAGAATTAAGCTACAGTTAACAAACGTGCTTTTGCCAGAAAAAACAGTGACATTCCAGTTCCCAAACACAACAGCTATCATTCCTTATATTATTTAAATCTGCCAAATTATTTTGATATAATTGAAATACTCAAAATGCATATCGCATAATATATATTATTATTTACTCGTATCTTTTAATGCAGTAATGCACTATATATTAAGGCATAGCCACTGCACCAAGGTGCCTTTTCAAGAGGTCTTTTCACAAATCAACTAACTGGTCACCGAAGGCCACTGGAATGATACAAAAATAAGAAACCAATAACACGGCTACCACACACACAAGCAGCGGCTCTGTCACTAGCTACACTGAGCTGGGCTTCAACACAAGGCGTACGGCGGGATAGACTTATAAACGGGTACCTCTGGAATACCTGCACAGAGAGTATCTTGTTAACATTGCGGGCTGCTCACATCGACGCGAGCGATGCACAAGGCTTGCTGCTCGTGGTGGGGGGGCCAAGCAAATTATTCATTTACCGGGGTGACTACAGTTGCCAGGCCGAGTCGTAAAGAAAATCAAAACGCATTTGAGCAGGACACACAGCTGCATCAGGATCATCATTAGCATCATCATCAACAACAATGTCTCAGTGGTGACACACAGTGTTGGTGAGCAACTGCTCCCTAGCATTGGAAAATTGTTCACAAACGGGTCATTCAGGGCAAGACAAATGGCGCCGGGTCAGGAGTTGAAAATCATAACTGACAAAAGACTGCCACTGGGGAGTAATGCAGAAGTGTTCACAGCTAGGTGAATAAAATTGAACCTTGGATTGGTCACTGCCATAGGAATAAGGCACTTCCACCACTGATCGAATACTTGACTATTATCCAACTGAGTGGTGCTGTTAGTAAAGTGATCGACAATTGGAAGGTCGTGATTCCTGTTGTCGATTTAGCCCATTATTTTTCCAGGATCAGTCAAATAAGTACCAATTCTAGATTTAAAGCGTTCGTGACTGCAAGGATCCATACTCTTTGGTTCTATTGGGTAAAGTCACGTAGGTAAAAAAATAAAATAACAAAAATCACGTTTCGGCCACAACACAATGATGAAGGCCGCTTGTGTTGTGGCCGAAACGTCGTGATTTTTGTTATTTTATTTTTTTACCTACGTGACTTTACCCAATAGAACCAAAGAGTAAATAAGTACCACTTTGTGGAAAGTCAACAGGAGGTGCCCTATAAAGAGAATGGCCACTGCCATGATGTGGAAATTCTAACGCTGGCCAAGGGCTGCCAACAGAGAACAGTGCCCCTCAATACTCACTTGAGTATGTAGACACATTGACTCTATACTATAACCAAGCAGGGAGTGTGAGCCAAGCACACCGCAAATTTATGCAAAATCTATGCCAGGAAATGAGCAGCACGCCATGAAAACATGTCAGGCCTGAATGATGCTACGTTTGTTCACAATAACATCAACTGCTGGAAGGATTAAAAGAAACGCACACAACGTAACAGTTAGCAATGTTGTGTAAAACACAACTTCTTCATAGTGCAATCACTTGAGATGCCTCATTACTACAATGCTGACTTTTTGTGCAGTTAAATAAAAATACATGGGTCGACACTGAGAATGGCCAGAAACAGCTATATGCAAGTATGTTTACTTGTATGGAATTTCTAAAGAGTATTTTCAAGATTTAAATGGAAATTGCAACAGATGTGAACATCACTGTCTTGACGGCTTGAGTGATGCGATTCCTTATTTGCACGAATTACATATTAACCTAAGAGTTAAAAGTGGCGTTTTGACTTTTATACTTAAGAGTAAAATGTGGCAACCTCAACATTTTGAGAACTTGGGTTAAAATACAGCCAAGATGGCCACATTTAAATTACGTGAAACACAATCACAAGATTCTGAATTCAAATCCCGGTCAAGGGTTGACTCGAGCCATCATCCCCCCTACGGTTGATAAAATTCGTACTTTGTAGAAAGTCAATACTAGTCATGCCATGGTGACACATGGCAATGTGGCGTTCCCACGGCTGGCTAAGTGCCACCAATACAATTAAGCATCACCACATGCTCGCTTGCCTTTCGAGTTGTGATTAAGTGTCCTGCTGCTCATAATTACCCCGGGTCTTCATGTCTGATTTCCAGCAGATGGTAACATTTAAAAAGAGATATCTGACCCACCAAAAACCCTTGCTGTGCGATACCTCAGTGGCCAGTCCATTAACTGCCAGAAACAATTAGAATCAGGTGTATAAAAACAAAATTATGTTGAATTAATTTCAGCATTGCAGGACTCCACTGTAGACCCCCCAAGACTCACTCTCAAGTGGAAGACAATGTTCTTTGGTGGCTCGAGCCTTTAGCTCTTCAGCATCCATGCTGAATGTGGCATGTAATGTAACAGTAAAACGGGTTGTGTGATGCAAACGGACAAGAGTCAATGTTGGGTGACTTAATTATTTTCCAGTTGCTGATAACTAATTATTCTGAGTTTCAGACAGAATGTAATGATATACAGCAAAAGCTATGTTATTCAGCACTTTGCCATCCGGAATGCTCTATTAACCGGCATCTGTCATAGAAGGCAATAGAAATCTTCCTTCACGTATCTGGAAAAATCCTGACAACCAACTGGCATCTTGCCGCGCACTTATCGTAGTTCTGTCGTTCACAGAAGCTTCATGTGGCTGCCAAGTGGTGGCGCTAGCGGAGCGGCAGTCTGTACAGACAGTACTGTACTATGATATACTGTACTCTAAATGGCCCCACTGCTTCTCTACAAACGTAGAATGCTCTACAACTGACTGGCGAGTACCTCTGTAAAATAGTATTTTCTTATATCATGGTTAAAATGTAGGATTAGTTTTTTCTTTAAAAGTTGCATGCACTTGGAAAATGTGACCCATAAATTATAACTGTCAGATAACTGGCAAAATTGTATTAACTGGCACCCTCCATTCCCCCATGGATGTCATATAATAAAGCTTTTGCTGTACTCTGCAATAAAACATAATAATGTAGTTTCTTTTATGATAAAACCATGGAAACAGAATTATGAATGTGGCTATGTTGTGTAATCTTGATGGTGTTGTCTGCTCTTGTCCTCGCATCAACTCAAGCTGCTAACAAGATAATTTCACCTAATATAAATTTTTGAATTATTTCCTAGTATTCAATAAATGAAATCATAAAATAATCAATCGGTACATGCAAAATAATTGAAAACCGAATACACACTGAAAACAAAGCAATGTGGGATTACTCATACCTTTGGTGATCTGATTACAGTAAAGGTTCTAGCCGTGATGCTGGTACACAGTTCACCTAACTAGGCAGAGTTACCTGGGTTTATCATTGCCATCGTTAAAGTCAGGGGGGACTGATAAGTGAAAATAGACAAAGCCATTGTAGGCAATTTTTTGCATGTGTGTGCTATTACAAATCATTAATTCAAACATTTTAAGATTTCAATGATAACTTTTAATATGTTGGGCCAACAAAGCAACAAGATAGTGTAATGCTCTGTAGCTGGCAGTGTGCAAACAAAACTGCACTGTAAACATTTTGGTGGCATTTTCAAGCTTGCTCATTTGCACCGGGTAGGTTACAGAAAAGTGGAACATATTGCAGCGTTACTGAACAGAAACAAAAACAAATAAGAGCAAGAAGAAAATATGAAAAACACAAACACTGATGCAAACACACACACACTCAACACTGATTGGGGAGTGCAGAAGGGAGGCAATGCTTTGATTGATGTGTTTTTTTCGAAATGGATGACACAGGAGGGGCATGACAGGTACCTAGAATCTTCAAACCCTCTAGACAAGTCTAGCTTGTGCCACGGCAGGCCTGATACGCTCCCTTCTGTGCTTCACCTTCAGGAGAGACCACAGGCAGAAAGTTGGCTTGCCACACAGGTTGTCATCACTGGCATGTAAGCAGCAGCTGGACCACCAATTGCTCGCTGTCAAATTTTCCGGCGCACAAAAAAAATCAGAGGCAGGGTGCATTGAAGCCAGGACCTTTGTAAATATGAATGGCTCAGTGGAATAAATCGCATCCAAGTTTAAGTGTGTACTTGGTCAAAACGCTCATTAACGCTTCAGTTACACTTTGTAGAGCCAGTCGTTTCTTTATTTAAAAAAGTGCCACCAATTTTTATTTTCCTTTTTCCCCATTCTTAAGAAACTGCGTGGAAAAAATACAAATTAAGCAAAAATAAACACGAGCGATAACGGTAAAGCAAAAATATGAAAAGCACTCACCCTGCCGGCGGTCTGGGAGAGCTACTCAGACCACTGTCTAATTGGGGTGAGTGTCACCTTCAGGGGCGGCCTCCGTCTCCTCCTCACTCCCGTTAACACACACTCTCTTGGCGTCGGACGAAACGTCGCTGTTGCTTGGCACACCGGCACTCTCGCTGTGGGGCCTCTTCTTGCCCGCGTCCCTGAGCTCCCCCCCAGAGCTCTCCGCCTCTGCGAGATGCAAACAAAACGCAAACCTCCATCAGCCGACGTTGTGCATCCACACGCTTCTGCTAAGGGGAGCGTGTAATGGTCGCTCAACGGGGAGTGTTGTCCTGCTCAAAATAAGGCATTTGGGGTTTCGTGGATCATGCAGGCACCCAAAACTGTGTGGCTTGTGAAGTGGCCGGTAAACAGGGGTAAGGCAAGTAGGCTAATGAGCCATCTGTATGGAAGGGACTCTGATGTACTTTAGTTTCCTCCCATATACAAGAAAATTAATTAATTCGTATGATGATGATCCATGTATCATCTTTGTGCATGGAAGAACTCAAGTTCAAATTTACTTATTTAACCAGCCTTTTATACACTATACATGCAACAAGCAAGAAAAACCATTGATTCGTGAAATGTAATTTAAACTTGTAACTGAAACGTGGAAGGGGTGGAAATGACACCTCCACACATTACTTTCGAAATTTGCCAAACATCCAATTGAAGGCACCTTCTGCAAAAGATGTAATACTTAGTGACCCTTTTCTGAATAATAACATTTATTCATTAGCATGTGGTCCACTAACTCTGCAGAGGTGTCAAACCCAAGTGGAGTAGGCATACATGCTGTATATATATCTATTGGAAAGTTATTGATGTAAGATACAAGCATCACCATGATTACATAGTCCACGAGTGTATACAATAACGATTTACCGATGTACAAGTGAAAACTTGTGAGCTCAAATAAACGAATGGGGGTTGTTCAATAGAGCCCATCACCCATATGAGGTGATTAAAATTAATATTACTTTGTTGGAAGTCAGTGAACTTTCTATGGGGGTTACGGCCACCAATAAGGGAATTAGGAATTTCCTGATAATTGGTTCCATATGCTCATTAAGAGCACGGAGTGTAATTTACAACGAGTGCTTCTGCCTCCATCACATAATTCTGAAGGTGGCGTCCAGTCTCATTGCCTCCCTGCTCATTCAGCAATATGGCAGTGCTCATCTCCACTGGCAGGGATGACAAGGGGTAGACTAAGTACCAGGCACTATTCACCTGTATCCAAGTTTGGCACCTGGCATTCATGACACTTATGATAAGCGAATGTAAAAGCACCTTTATCCTTGGAGCTCTCCTCCTTTTCTTTCTCCGTGGGTTCTTCTGTCAGCAGGTTTTCACTCCCCTTCGGTTGCTCCGGATCGCTCTCTTTGCTCTCCTCTTTGATGCTGCTGCTGCTGCCGCCGCTGCTGCCACAACCGCCTTCCTTCATGCTGGCACTCTCCTCCTTGACACTGCCCTCCTTACTACCGTGCTCCTTACTGCTGCCATCCTTGCCCCTCTCGCTGCCACTGCCTCGCTCCCTACTGTGCTCGTGTTCCTCCTCCCTGCTGCTGCGATTGCGATCCTTGTCCTTGCTACCGTGATCTTCTTCCCTGCTGCTGCGCTCCCGATCCTTGTCCCTGCTGCTGCGCTCCTTGTCCCTGCTGCTGCGCTCTTCGTCCCTGCTGCTGCGCTCCTTGTCCCTGCTGCTGCGCTCCTTGTCCCTGCTGCGCTCGTGATCTTTGTCCCTGCTGCTGTGCTCGTGATCCTTGTCCTTGTTGCGCAAGTCGACGTCGCGCGACGAGCGCTCCCGACTACGCGAGCGCCGCTTGCGGTCACGGCTACGCGAGCGCTTCTTGTCATCATTGCGGCTGCTCCGCCGGTCCTTGCTCCTGCAGGACGTGCACGCGCATAATCACACACACACGTTCCCCTGTTTAGTCTACAGGCTGCGTGTTATTCGTTAGCATCTATTAAGATGAGTACTGCACGACGGGATGTTCTAGCTAGAAACACATTACCCAAATCAGACTTTTGGCTAGCCATCGAACAGAGACGGTCACTGTATCGCGCGTTTTCAGATGCGCTTTTGCGGCCGTCTGGAACGCTCTTCCTTCCGATATTAGAAAGCCACTTGAGCCATGCACTTTTAAATCTAGAACTGCTTTTTGTGTTCCGTTTGTTGTCCTTCCCCCACATACCTCCAATTAGCATGGTTGGCTATGTACGGCGCAAAATAATTGAAACATACATACTTATATTAGACTTAAAACACGCCCGTATGTACGAGTAACCAAAAGTGCACTTGAAAATTTTCTATTGAATTTAGAATCAGACTTTTTAATAAACTACCCAAACAAGTTCAGATTTTATAATTGGGATCAGCACCTCCTGAAACAAACTTATAGTCAATAAAACCAAAAAACTTATTGATTTTCAGAAACGTTACAGGTCACAAAACCTAAGATTATGATTTTCAGAAAAAAAAAATTGGATTTTATCCACTTGGATAAAATCCATTTTATCCAAATGGTTAAAAAAGTTACAAATGAACTAAATGCTCGCACCAACATTTTGGGGTGAATGCAAGATTTGGTTTTATCTCGTCTCAAATCATGTCCTGTTCATCTGAATGATCTTTCCATTTCGAGTCGGTCCTATGTGAATGAAGAGCAGCGGCCGTCACCTGCTGCGCCGGCGGTCGCGGTCGCGGCTGCGTGAACGCCGATTTTCCCCGGAGCGTGCAGATCGCTTGTCACGCGAGCGGCTGCGGCGGCCCCGCGACCGACTCCGCCGCCGCCGGTCCTTGTCCCTCTGCAACGGAGGCGGTGTTGTGGCAGACGACACGAGCGAAAGATGAGGAACGTGAACGAGAGCAGCACGCGAGTAGCGAAGAACGCCCTTCAAACATGCTGCACGGAGGCCTAGGTTCCACTCGGCAGCTTTGTTAATGCTGCTTTGCAACACAGACGCACATTATTGAACTATTACGGTCAAAGCACATGAATACGACGTTGGCAAACAAATCTCCAGCCTCCCTTCATGTCTGGGCAGCCCGGTCCATGACGCTCACCTAAATGCAACAGATTTTTTGGTGATACTGCATTGGCAGTGGTGTACAAGCACAAACAAAACTCAATGCATATGTCAATTAAGCAGGCGAACTAGGTAAGAAATTGCAACCAGCTTAGGACATGAAACACGAAATAAAGCACCTTACAAAAATAAAGGTTCACGAAAAAACCCGTAAAAAACGAAGGTGTTCTTTATCTTCATAAAAATTTATTTTATTTGCATTAAAAAGTAGGAACTGCAACTTCCTTTGGATGTGACTGTCTGTCTCTCCCATCCAGCAAAACTTTTATCTGACCATCTCTCTCGACCTTTCTCTTACCTTCTCTCCAATGTATATCCAAATGTATCTCGATTTCTCGCTTTGTCCGTTTCTCTATTCCCATGTTCCCACTTCTAGCTCTCCCTCCCTCTTTATTCTTATCGTCCCTCGACTCTATCTCATCCAATTGAACACCCCCCCCCCCATCTCTCTCCCCGTTTCTCTCACCTCTCACTCTCCTTATTCCCACCTCTCCCTTTCCCGTTTCAATCTCACTTGTCTCTCCCTAATCCTCCCAGTTTGTCGCTTTTCCTCGCTCTCCTCTTTCCTCCGTTTCACACCCTTTCACCCTTTGCCTGTACCTCCTTTCCATCTCTCCCTCCTTCCTCTGACTACCTCTCTCACCTCCCTCTCTCCTCTCTGGTATGTGCACAGGATACACATCTGGGGTGGAAGGTGGGTGAGGTTGGCACGATGTCAGCATGCAGGAACCCGGCTCAACCGTGTGAATGTATGCGACATCATCATGCAGATGAGCACAGTGACATCACCATCGTGCACAAATACTTGGGCACGCGATGAATCCAACCATGGATTCAGACATAAAACTTTTTTTAACATGGTTCATGTTTTCCAACTTTCAATACTATATTAGAAAAAGGTTTGCTGGCTGGGTTCCTGCCTGGATTTCTGGCTTGCAAATGACCAAGTGCGCATGCGGTGGTGACATCATCGTGCACATCCGCATGATGTCACCCTCATCCCACATTGATAAGTCGATTCATATGCGCTGATGTCAGGCTTCCTCCCCAACCCACCTTCCACCAAGGCCATGTATCCCATGCAAATGCGAAAAAGGAAAGAGACAGAGAGAAGTGAGGGATGGCGATATGAGGGATGTGAGGGAGGGAGATAGAGAAGGGAGGGATATAGAAGGAAGAATCAGAATATGTATTTATACTGGAGAAATGCAATGGGTTATAAAGCTTCTTCACAGATAAAGTATTTTCAAAGATGTCCAGAAGATACTGAGAGGAACGGAGAGAGGGGCAGGGAGAGAGTCAAAGGGTGTGAAACAGAAATGGAAGAGTAAATTGGAAAAAAGTAGAGCGAGGGAAAGCGACAGTGGCCGGGGCTAGTGATGTTAATGTGAGGATTGTATGGTCCGAGTATCCGTTCATCCTGTAGGCTTGGTGTACGTACTCCAACTCCCTGGCTAGGTGGTTCTGGTCAGAGATGCAACGGGCCCCTATGGTGTAGTGTTTTGATGAGGGAATTCTTCTGGGCTGGATGGTGGTGGGAGTCAGGCTTTAGATAGGCATCCGTGTGGGTGGCTTTCCTGGAGACCAAATGTCCCAACGAGCCATCAGGTCTTTTCTCGATCAAAACATCCAGGAATGGTAGCTTGCCATCCTTTTCCACTTCCATGGTGAATTTGATAGACGGGTGTATGGAATTGATGTGGTCTCCCCAGCCATGCGGAGACAACCTACTGAGGATCCAACCAAAACCATCACTTTACCGTACATAGCAGGGGTTACCAAAAAGATTTCCAAAATCTTAAACACACAAGATCCAGGTTCGTTTCAATTCAGTACACAGAATCCGTGATTTAATCCCATCTGTAAAATGTGATTCCTGACATGCAATACCCTGGTGTCTACAAACTGAGCTATGGTTGCCGCAGCAGTTACATTGGGGAAACAAACGACATGTGTCAGACCGCGTCCGTGAAAACAAGGCAGATCTGAAACATGGGAGGACCAATACCTCTGCCGTTGCCGATCATTGTTTTAACGCTGTGGGCTCACGCGAAATAGATTTTTCCAAGATGGAGTTACTTTGCAAACCTACCGGCTACCTTCAGAGATTTGTTCATGAAGCCATCCAGATATATAAACACAGATACAACTTCAATCGAGAGGATGGGCACAAACTGAGCAATCATTGGAAGGACGTTATTAACCAGGTAGAGTCTTAACTGACTGTGATGTTTCCATCCAACCTGCATGTCAGCTGTTGTTTCGACTCTGTCGCTCTCTCTATGCCTCTCTCTGAGACCTCTCATGCTCACCTGTCCGTTGCATTGCACTCTCATGTCTTTTGGATTGCACTCTCATACTCGCAGGCCCTTCGGATTACACCGGTTGGGTTGCACTCCCTCGTCGAGGAGGCCACTCTTCTCATTATTTTCCACAGTTACATGCTAATTTATCACATTTACATCACTAGCCCCGGCCACTTCTTTATAATCCTTGAGCTACACCCATTTCAAACCTTTTAAAACAGTCTGCCTCAGCAGCAGACCATGCTTTCCCACCTGATGATGGACGCTTGTATTGCGCCCGAAACGTCCTGATTTATTGTTTTATTTTATACCTACGTGACTTTACCAAAAGAACTAAAGAGTATAGGTGAGATACAGTGAAGGGAGGAGAAGAATACAGAGTGAGAATATTAGGGGACAGGAAGAGAAACCAGTGACAAAGTGAGACATTGGGATATATTTGGATATACAGCACCAATTCGGAAAAAGAAAGGTGGATAGGGTTAACAATTTATTTCGGCTGGGAGTGACAGACGGTCATGTCCCTGAAATAGACTCTTATTACCACTATGTTGTAGTGCCTACACATGACCTGAGGAAAATGTTTGTCATGTGGATTTAAACTAAATTTTTAGTCAACAGGACCTGAAACAAGGTAACTTCAGCAGAAAATCAAGTTTAACAGGATAGTCAATTGCGCAGTCATTGATGACCAGATGAGACCATCAGATAATTACCATTGCAAACCCTCAGGATATCTGTGGTGCTGGTTCAGTGCTCAGACAAGGCCATTGCGAGCCTCCAAAACAACCTGGCCAGCATGTCCCCAGCCACCATGTCTCACCTCGCGCTCCTTCTCACGCTCCTTCTCCTTCTTCTCCTCCTCCTCGCGCCTCCGCTTCTCCCTCTCCTCGCGTTCCTTCTCCCGCTTCTCCTTTTCCTCGCGCTCCTTCTCGCGTTCCTTCTCGCGTTCCTTCTCACGCTCCTTCTCGCGCTCCTCACGCTCCTTTTTCAGCTTCTCCTCGCGCTCCTTCTCTGGTTCTTCATACTTCTTGCGGAGCTTCTCCTGCATTTAGGAGAAGCGTGCGAGTGTGTCCATACAGGTGTGATATCTTGGCTCATGCTAATTCACAACTGATTTATGCTTGTTTATCCAGGAAAGCTTCACCGATTCTCAACACACTTCAGGTTTTCACAGTAGGGAGTGTTGCTATACGTACTCCCAATTGAGTACTTTGCAGGTAATCCTTTAGCATTGGGATGTTTGGCCAATACCAGTTACATTGTGTGTTTTTAGATGAGGGGAAACTCAAGACCCTGAAGCAAACCCAAAGAACAGTGAAAACATAGAAACTGAGATAAACACACAATGGAACCTGAATCGGGAATCAAACCCAGGTTTTTCTTGCGATGCACACATGTTACCACTGTGCCAACCTGCTGCTCAAAATGTGGGGGTGAATGCCGTTTATAAAGGGGCCCCAGTAATAGGCCATAAAAAAGGAGTCGATGAATCATCAACTCTAAAAACAAATCTCCCCCCCAATGTTAGAACAAATTTAACATGTCCATCAATAGAACATATGGTGCATTTGTTTCCAAAACATATGGCATACAAACTACGGAGAGATGTTTTTATCGCCCGTTGTGTGTTGTGTACAACCATTTGAGTTATGTCTGCATTTACATATTTGTTTTGTAGGGTGCAAACAAGAAAAGGCTGCATACCCGCATCTCCTCGATAGTGCTTTTGATCTTGGCATAGCCCATGTGCTGCTTGCCCATGAGGTGGTCGTCGATACGCGACTGTGGGTCGCCCACGATGAGAAATGCGCCGCACACCTCGCACACCTCCATCTGCTTCTCCTGTGCCGCAAATGTCTCGATCGTCTGTGTGGAAACCAAACCCGGGTGTGCTCATCAGCTCCGAGCGCTTCTGCGAGTCTCAACGACTCGTGTAGGCAGGGTCCTAATGTGGATATTTGTTTCGGATTGGCAGGACAAAACTCGTGAATGTGTGAAGAACACTCAAACTCTACAGGTAACTTGTAGCATTAGCTCTATATTTGAGATTGGCCAACCCTATGAAGGATCATGGCTCACAAGCTTCGGGGAAACATACCGTGGGCACTGATTGTGCAATGCAAACTGGGCCATTCCTAGGCCTAGTCTGACTGCCAGGGGGTTTTTCCACCTCCCTCCAGGCTGGCAAAGGGCCTCGCCAGGAAGGGAGTCTGGGCCTGAAGGCAAGAGGGTCACTCACAGAGGCGGTGGCGCGCAGTTGGTCACGCTCATCCTTGATTTGCTCCACAAGTTTCATCATGCCCTGGGCCTCCTCCACGCGTCCCTCACAGCCCATCTGCTCTATCTGTAAACAACATAGACACAAGTTGGAGGAAGAGGCATTTGTCAGGCATTGAGTTCCTAGAATTAGGTATTTGCGGCTATTTGTCATTGCGTTAAATTAGTTAAATGTCCTTAATGGGTGCGTTTCAAAACTCTGTCAGCCAAACTGTTTTCTCTGTCATGATATATGGCCCCATTTATCCTTCTTCATGCTATTTATTGCTATATAGCAATTAAATGTACATATTGTGTAATCTACAAGATTTGTCTCAGCCTTATCTAGACAAAGACAATGTTCAATGTATGTAGTCTGTTCTGCTATAACACAATAGTTGTGTTCCTGAAAAATACTGTTATGGAATGATTGCGTTGTAATAAATAATATAGGGTAAAGGACAGCCCGCGATAACACGTGAGATGCGTATTCAGACTGAACAAAGGTTGAGACGCATGGCTACCATCTAGAAGCATCCAGCAGCATCCCAATGCCATGAGTAATGCTACACCGAGGCAGCCATACAACTGTTTGTTCCTATTTTTGAGGCGTAGTTCTGTTCACTCAATCGGGTTTTATTCAATTCGTATGAAAGCACGTGGCATTATAGAACAGACTGTAAATATGTATCAGTTTAACACGTAGGCTTTCGCGACCAATACTATTCATAATAAAGGTTTTTGGGTTAGATCGCATTATTTATAAATGTGTCGCCACCTTCCACCCCCCCGACACAGTCAATCAGTAAAAAAATGTGTCACGTTGACAAAAGACAAATAGTTCACTACTTTAGCCCACCGGTGTGTTGAAGAGTGAATCCACAACATTTACAATTTTTGAGTACGACGTTTTGCCGGTAATTACATCCAGAATTATCGGGCAATTGGCCAGAATAGTGAAGCCCTCCACCTGCTCCCGGTCTTAGAGCAGCAGGGTGATGTCATCATTTAACCCAATCAAGTGCAGAGATCAGAGGCGGAGGGGGGGGTATTGTAATTATATAATAGATTAGTAATCAGTTAATTGTTATGATTAGTAATCAGTTATAGATGATTAATTAGTTATGTGTATTATTTAATAACTGAACCCAATCACTATACCCAATCAGGTGCAGAAATCAGAGGTGGGGGGGTTATTGTAATTATATACTACGTTAGTAATCAGTCAATTAGTATGTATTTCCCCTATAACGAATTGTAATATGTATTATTATTTTGTCAACGTGACATATTTTTTACTGATTGGCCATGTCGGGTGGTGATCTAACCCAAAAACCTTTATTGTGTATCTATGTATGTTGCACTTCTTTCACACATGCCACTGCTGGTGGAAAGGCCTCCACTATAGAGCTCTAGAAGGTATTCAGTCCACTCTTCCATGTTGACCAGAAATGTTGGGAGATATAGGAGTACCCACACTTTACCCCACCAAACTACCTGCTGCTTGATTGATGTACGATCTATTTTTTACTTCATGTTTTTGTGTGCAGTCTTTGCTGAATGGACTCATACCATTAACTTGTCTTACGAACATGCACATCACACAGTCATTTATAAATGTATGCGGCAGCTGAATTAAGCATGCCAAGGTCAAATATGTATACTTAAAATAACCATGCCAAGTACAGTCTACATCACAATTTTACTGTTACATGAACCACATAGTCTCACACTGGTCAATTAGCCGTCACAGTCAACTGTTTATCACATTGTCACCCTTCAACTTTGCTCTGCAGAGGCAAATTAATTGTCACTTTCAAATGTGCATCTCTGACAGTTAAATCAATTGCCACATGTAACTGTCCCATTTGACATTAAACTGTAAACCCAAAGCAAAATGTGGAGCGACAATACTGCTACATTGCAGCTTACGTCGTCCAGCAGCTCCTCAATGCGCTCCGTCAGGACTTTGATCTTCTCATCATTCTTGGTCATGGAGGCTCCTCCGGGCTGAGATAAGAAACATGTAAGGTTGTTAAAATCGGTTTTGTCCGTGACCGGTAACCCGCAAGAGAAAATCCACGATAAAGATTTTTTGGGTTAGATCACGTAAATATAAATGCGTGGTTAAACATGCCACCACCTGACAGCTAATTAGTAAGGTTTGTCACGTAAACAAAACATGCCAATTAGTACACTAGTTCAGCACACAGGTGCGTTGGAGAGTAAACCTACAACATTTACAATTCGAGTAATTGGCTGTGGTGGCAGGTTTAATGACACATTTTAATTTACGCAGTCTCACCCAAAAAACCTTTATTATGGATATTGGTCCCGAAAGCTTACGTTTTAAACTTCAGGAGAAAATGGTAGAAATAAAAAAAAAAACTTGTTACGGATTTGCCAATGTCTGAAGCAATAAACGACACATGTTCTGCTTTTATACTGAGAAATGTAAGAATTCAGAATGCTGCCATGTTGTAATGAATCATACTGCATTTGCAATTTAGAGCTCGCAGGTTCAATTCTATCTCCAGGCACAAAAGTTGAAAACAATGGTGCACGTTTCAATCGGTACATTCATAACTAAAATACCACCGGAAACAGTTACCCGTTCCTGACCTTTGGACTCTGTAATCAATTCTGAAAACAGATACCAGTTTACAATCTAGCAACCCAATAACAAAAGTCATCATAAGAGTCAACGCGAGTCTGTAAGATCCCACTAACAAAACCTTTTTCGCACACAAGTTATAAATTAACATAACGCTGAACGTTCATCAATAATACTACCTTAAAAAATGTTTGATGAGTATTTGTTGTGCTTGTGCACCATTGCCAACACTGTATCCCCATAGATTGTGTTTCAACAGAAATTGATAGCTCTTTGGTAATTCAATGCTCGGTAAGTTAATGTAGGTATTTTTACTTGAGCTTAATAAAACCCATCAACACTGTGGTGGATATAATGAGTTTTCACATTTGTAAGAAGAAAATAGTAGTTTACTTGGAATGAGGCGTTTCCCCAACGGCTAAGGGACAACAAGAACAAAAGCATTTGAACTCTTAACCTACGGATTGAAAGCTGGTGGATCTATCGCCGACCCACATGGCAGGGGTGTTGAGTGCTTATTTTTAATGTGTATGTGCACAAATCTAGCTGTGTTTGCTGTCTGTAGTCTGTGTGTGCGTGAGGGAGCAGCCCCTTACATTGCTAACCATTGGCCCCCCGGTCTGCGCAAGTGCCAGCCGCGCATGACCCCTTCGTATGCGGCGCTCCACATCGGCCATGATGCTTTGCAGGTAGCGCAGGAAGTCCTGCTCATAGCCCATGCGCATGAAGCGAGAGCTCTTCTCGTACCTGCATGCACACACACATGCATTCCCCTCTTAACTTTGTAGACCACAAGGATAAAGTGATGTTCATATGAACATTTACTACAGCCCGCATTGCGCACAAGGTGAATGGTGTGGCTAGCACTGTGTCTAACCAAATTTCTCCCATTTGCTATTTGCATGTCTATTTAAAGCTGAGAACCAATGGTTAAGCCAAGGACAGGTTCAGATACCACGTGGCTAGAAATGAAACCAAGTCTTCAGGAATGCAACAGTGCATAAGCCATGACTGCTCAGTGTATGTGCAAAATCACGTACACACACAACTCCACGTCTCAATGCATACCGACTACATTTGTTCTGGCATATTCTTTAAATTTGCTTTTGAATCACAAAATGTGGTCGAGGCTTTTGCTCCTTTTCCATTCTTATAGAAGGCAATAGTATAAACTGATTTATCATTATCAGGCATGTCATCATTTTCACTCAAATGACATCCCACTAAATGGTCATTGCTCTATTGACTCCAAGCTAAAGATAATGAACTCACTCATGACCAGGATTGAGTTGGATGTACTGCCTGGCCATATACATCTGTCACGCTCTTATGAAGTCAGGGACATATAGATCAGTTGAACTAGCAGTAAAGATCCAAGAATGACACATTAAAAACTCAGCTGCTGAAGCAGGTAGGATGACGGAGGGAAATTACATTTTGTAGTAAGTCAACAATGGATGCAACTTAAGGATAGAGATGACTGCCACAACAACATGGAATTTCCATCAGTGACTGGAAGGATTATGGAGATGTGCAATGCCAAATATTCCTGATAAATTAAAACTTGGCACATTTCTTAACGTTTTTATGATTATGCATGTCATCACACAAAAGTGGGAACATTTGAACATTATACTTACTCATATATACTGTGCAACTTTGGCTGCAAACATTACTATTTAAAGTAGGAAAATATAAATTGACAATTTCTAAGCCTAAAATGTGATACACAGAAGAACTGCGATATATAAAACCGTGCATTCTTTATCTTGCCAGTTTGTTGTCCATTGTGATTCGCCGACACACTTTCCAAGCGAAGATTGCCAATACTGTGAGAATTACAGCAAGCCATTGGTTGCCTAGTGCTGGCCATGGAACCATCAACACACCACAAAAACAGCCCTATGTTGTTGGTAGAATAGCATGTGTGCATGCGGAACTCACAATTTTTTTAGATTCTCATCATGGATTTTGTCACATGGACCTGCAACACAAGCATAACTATTACAAACACCACTATTGCACCACGTGACATTTCACAGCAAACTTACAACTTTTTAAACATTGCAATATTCGTTTTTAACAGCCTTTGAATGATAATAAATTATATTCATGCTCAGATGAGAATTGGGGTTGCACTTATCAGGTAAATTTACATTAACAGCAAGGATTTGGAAAGCCTCAATGTGGTGACTTTCATATGCAAAACATATCTAAATATCTCTCGACTCGAAACAATTGTTGTGCTGTCCTTAATTAAAATGGAAACCCTGTGGCAACAAATGAACAAACAGTGGAGGCAACTACCTTCACACGATGACCAAATCTTGACTTCCCACAAAGCGGTACTCAACCAGATATGATCATGATCCAAAGGATTACTCAAGTGTCATTTTACAAAACAAAGAGAGCACCAAATGGGTTCAGGTTTCACCTTGTTTAAACAAACACTAATGTGTTACATTGATCAGGAAGGCTCACCGATGAGACAGTTTAAATATTCTTTCCATGTAATTTTGAAATTTATTTTTAAAACAAAACATCAACATCTAATTTTATCTGGAAACCATCGGGTTGAGTGCATTTAATCTCCCTGCAAGGTAGGTTTCAACTCTTGAACTTACCTAAATCAGCTCGAGTGTTCACAAAGAGCTCTGCTGGACAGTACTCAACCAGATAGTGCTTGCAAACCTGAAAACAATCCAAGTGTAACAATTACAATAAAACATGGGTGTCTAAACGCAACCATATCTCAAGACTGTAAAAACAATGGTACCATACAGCAGTCATTGGCAAATGAAAAAATACAATTGAGCCTGGATTCGAACTGGAACAGGGTATCGACAGCTACTAAGAGTATACTGTATATATTAAACTGTACTAGGCCTAGTAGCGCATGTGCGCAACATATGAACCTTATGGCGGGACCCCGGGGTCCCGAATAAATGGTAATCAAAATCGTAATTAATTAATGACGACTCCGTCCCACCGCAAACATAAACGCCGCGACCCACCTGGTGCGGATCATTGTCATGTCGTCCAAGCGCAGCGAGGACGAATGCGCAATAGAAACACAACTTTTAAACTTTGATTAGCGCATCGTGTTGAGCTCGTCGAGAGGAATAGATTGCCGTATCGTTCGCCTTAAACAAACATAAAATGACGTCGCAACGCAGTTTATGCGAGAGCCGCGGGCTTATGGGACCCCGGGTCCCGCCATAAGGTTCATATACGACCAGGGTAGAGGGTAAGTGGGGGATATGCGTAACGTCACCACGCTGACCAACAGCGGGATGTAGGTGACATCACGCAAATGTGCGCTACCCTGATCTGCGCACATGCCCACCTGCGCGCCAGAGAGCAACACTTTTTTGTTCTAATCCTGTATACGGTGGTATGGAACATTTGTAATTGCCCCCCACTATTGGTGTGGGAGAGCTGGTGGAGAGTTTAAGCTGCTTTAATAGCGCACTGCAGCTATGCACCTCGGGCATCCGAGTTCGATTCCCGGCTATGGCTAAGAGCAGTGGCGAATGACATTTGGACCGGGTTAGGGCTGCCACCTTTTTACCACTGCAGTGACCAACACAATTAATCATGATCGAATAACCTACATGACGTACACGGAGGAGACTTTCAATCCAACTAGGGATCGACAGAGATAATGTTAAATTACAAGTTCGAACTTGTTGTTACAGACTTCTATTTAACTTGATATGTCAAATATTTGACGCTTAAAATCTTCGGATCTAACGATGTGAAATTTTCAACACTCATTTGACGTGACAATTCAAGACTTCATTTAAAAACCGGTCCAGATTCCACCAATCGTGGCACCATTTGTGTTTTTGACTTCATTTTAATACTCGTATCCCCCTTTTTGAAATCATGAACGGTCGCGCCTCGCTACGAGGGCAAACGTCCATTTCATATATTAAATTTAGTTCATTCAAGCAACCCACTTTTATTCACACATCAAATTTGACTATCTGCATCTGATTATACAACATAAAAAAATAAAACCTACATTTTATATTGTGGGTCACTTGAACAAGGTGAAAAAAATCCAATGCTCATTTTGAAGCTAGGCCGCTAGTCCAGTTTGCGCCTGGATATTTTGATGGTGCGGACTTGGAAGTCACGCCAAATCATGAACGTCGGAAAAAAATATTTTAGATTTTGTGTCTGCCAAAATAGAGGGGTTACAGTTTTAATACTTACACAGCATACGCATGCCCTTGCAGGTTTACAGGCACGTGCAGTCATACATATGCCATGTTATATACATATTTACTTTAATACGTGCGCACACGTTCACAGACGACCACAGCAAAGTAACATATTTCCAAGTGTACCTCATCTCTCTTCTATCGCTACTACCATGGTAACTGTTCTCGCAAACGTCGATTCCACTCCCAATGTTGAGTACTCGGTCTACCCGTTTCGTCAGCCAGTGGGTGAACCACCACACTGCCGCAACACTTTTCTTTCTGCCTCTTCCCTTGCACTGCTCCACTCTTTGGATTCCATCCTAGTTGCATGTTCCCCGAGATATGAAAACTTTGCTCAATTAAAAACACCGCATCGACCCTTAGTATACCCCGCTAATGGTGCCCTTTGACATCACATCCTCCACTGATGGAAGCGGTGCGCTCCGTCACAGCCGCCGACGCGCAGCGCGGGAGTTCCTCGGCACTTCCCCATGCGGAGCCGCGTGGCGACTCGAGGCGCCCCCCAGCCGCTCGACACCAACAATCATCCCGCCGCCACGGCTCTACCACGCGCAGGAGACACGGCGCGTCCGCCAGGGACGACACCGCAGCGGGGCGCGATGATGACGCCGACCTCTCTGCGAGCTCCCTCGGCGGCGGGGCAAGGCCTGAGCCAGGCCTGGCCACCGCACGCGTGCAGCAGCAACAGTGAACAAACACGGGGAAATCACAAGTGCCGCATTGCCCCTCACCCTCTCGTCGTCCCAGTGGACATCGCAGCGCTTCTCGTTGGGGGCGAGGTTTCTGTCTCGCCCCATCAGCTCATCCAAGAGCTGCGCGTTGGACAGCATCGCGACGACAGCGGTGGCGGTGCCAAGCGGGGCCCAGGCGATAGCGAAATGGCGGCCGCGAGGATCCGGTTCCCCATGCGGCTCCGTAAATCTGCAGGATCCGGTTCCCCTTCCCCCCCCACCGTGGGCGTGCGTAACGGGCAACGTTTTGGGCCATTGCCCTTTCACAGCACACAGTCCCAGAGAGCTCGATTGGCGGGTTCCAGAGCTGAACCCGCACACACGAACTGCATCCGGGGTCTGACTTCAGAATGGAAATCCGAAAGCTATTTTTGCGCCCTGTTTAAGGAGCCCAACAACGTAATAATGCGCCCTTTTTAGGATTATAAACAACGGCCCCAGGACGTGAATCACGCCCCTGCTGATGCTCCCGACGGGTCGTCAGTGCGCGGCGTGGGGGTAGGCGTTCAGCCACGCAGTGACTATTTCAGCAGCGAAAAAATCCACGCAAACCCACCGTCGAAGCGTCAGGCGTCGTTACAACGAGCACCGGCGCCGCCCACGGGCTGCTGGAGGCTCGGGAGCGGTGGTCGCCTCGAGCCTCCTGCGTGACCCCGACTGGGACGCCTCCTGTGAGGGTGAATGCCGACGAGGTGCCGACGAGGTGCCGGGGCGCTCCCCGGGTCCATGTGATGCATATCCGTTAGAGGGATGCGTCCTAAACAATAAGGATCCCCGGATGAAGACATCACCGCGTTCTCTTAGCAGCGCTTGGAGTTATCCTTTATCCATAATCTAGATTTTTGGGGTTAGATCACGTAAATATAAAAAATGTGTCGTTAAAACCCGCCACCACCCGACACAGCCAACTCGTAAGGGTTGTGACGTAAACAGAACGTGCCAATTCGTCACTAGGACAGCACTAGTGTATAGTGTAGTGTATAGTGTAGTGTATAGTAGTGTATAGTGTAGTGGACGTGTGTGTGGCCACCGCCAATTCGTCACTAGGACAGCACTAGTGTATAGTGTAGTGTATAGTAGTGTATAGTGTAGTGTATAGTGTAGTATATTAGTACAGCACACCGGTGTGTTGGAGAGCCAAGCCACAGCATTTACAATCTGAGTACGACGTTTCGCCAGTAATTATAACTAGCTTCATCGGGCGACAGCCAGACTTGTGGAGACGTCTTACTGTTTCGTTCCTTAAATAGAGGCGTAGATGTTGTGACCACGCTTCTGCGCTCTTGCGCCACGTGGGGGTGTGGGGGGTTACTGAGTCAACGTCCATTATGCATGTGCATTATGCGAGCCAGTTGAACTTTCCCTTCCTGTCTATTGTGTGTGTAGTGGCCTTAGTGACGACGGAGACTTGTTCTTTGGAGGCAACACGTATTTATTACAACACGTATTTATTACTCTACAGTGGCTTATCTGATACTTGAAGAGGTAACGGCCTCTTAAACCCGTACTCTATAGAGGGAACGTTCCCCGAGCCTTAGCCCACGCCAGCTCCCTGGTTCCCTCTATCCTGGTCCTCAGGAGGCTGTCTGACCTGGCACAGCTTCGGCGCAGGTCCCGATCACCAGCCACACGAGCCCGGCCCTCAGAAGGACATGTGGCCTCGTGGCTCTGGTGTCACACCCTGGCTTGCTTTGCCCGGCCCTCAGAAGGGCAGCGGGCCAAAGGAGTTCCAGGGTCTAGGCTAGTCGATCTTCTTTCGTCACTGGCTCTTCATCTTGCTTGAGTCGAACTGCCCCTCAGCTCTCCAAGTCCCCCTTTTTACACTGTCCCCTTACTGAGGTTTGGGGCTGGGAGGGATCACAGCGTCCCCCACAACCCCCCAGGGTGGTGGCCGTAGTGGACGTGTGTGTGGCCACCGCCCTACAACTGCGTGTCCCCCTCCCGTAACACCTCTACATGTGTATTAAAATAGCCGTACCAACGGTATTCCCTAATGAAGCAACCTGCTCTTTGTCGGCATGCATTTAAATAATGTATTATTTGATGATTCGCTTCCACGCAGCACTATGGCGGTAGCTATCCGAACGGTTAAATTAATTTTTATTTCTTTCAATTTCGATAGATTCTCGGATTAGTCTTGGCCAGTAGTAGCTAGTTTTGGCACGCGTGTTCTGCTACTGCTAACGGTTCTATTTGGGAGAATTTAATATTTCTCTGATGTTCTTTTAGTCTCGTGCTGATCATTCGTCCTGTTTGCCCAACAAAACATTTACCACACGTGCAGTTATTCATGTACCCACCTTCTGTTGATAGCGTCGATAATCTATCTTTGTACCAGATATTAATTTCTGTATTTTATGTACCGTGCCAAATCTGACTCGGATGTTTTGTTTTTCCAAACATCTGGCTAGTTTATCAGTTACTCCCGCAATGTACGGTATTTTGATCGTTTTAATTACTTGGGCAGTTTCAATCCTCATGTTATTTGATTTTGTTTTGGCATTCAATGCCCTGTTGATTTGTGCATCATTGTAAACGTTCATTTGCAGCGCTTCTTTAACATGTTGATTTTCACTTCTCAGACTGTCACCATCTGACACTTCCTTAGCTCGATGAATTAGCACCTTGATAAGAGCAGATTTCTGCGTAGGGTGATGGTGTGACTGCATTCAGATAGGCGTCAGTATGCGTTTTCTTTCAGTAAAAGTGTTATTTTTTTACCACTTCGACCCCGTCCGAGCAGAATATCCAGAAATGGTAGAGTTCTGTCAGCTTTCACTTCCATGGTGAACTGTATGGATGGGTTTTGTCAGTTGAGATGATTTAGAAATGCGTTCAGTGTATCTTTGCCGTGTGGCCAGGCCAACAATGTGTCATCCACATATCTAAAACAAGCAGAGGGTTTTAGTGTGCTTAAAGCTATTGCTTTTGTTTCAAAATCTTCCATGTACAAATTCGCTATCACAGGAGACAAAGTAAAGCCCATTGCTGCTCCTTTTGTTTATAGAAGTCACCTTTCCACAAGAAGTAGATGTTCTTTAGACAGTGTTCAGCTAGTCTTGGGATTTCTTTGGCTAAACCTTTGTTCGTTACCAGTGTCGAGTAATTTAATTGACTTAACACTGACTTAACACTGACCAAATGGGCATTTAAATGCAGTACATTATTGTATTCTGACTTACGAAACGTTCTATTTACACACGGGTCCCAGGAACTAATTATGTTTGTAAGTCGAGGACTTCCTGGGCCTGTTTGAACAGTATAAGCTTTCATCTTGATTTGAAGCTTTCGTGACTGCAGGAATCCATACTCTTTGGTTCTTTCGGTAAAGTCATGTAGGTAGAAAAATAAAATCAAATGAAACAAAAAAGAATATATACTGTAGTTTTATTTTATATATATTTTATACCTACGTGACTTGACCGAAAGAACCAAAGCGTAGTTAGTAGAAGCTTTCCCTGCTGCCTGTATATGTGTAGTGTTCGACTTTACGCGGACAACTTCTGTCTTACTTCGAACACCGCTTTATTTACAACATTCAACATGTCCTCCACACTCCACAGTATCCTGGTCACCTCCGCTCGTCTCGCTCACCACCTTTGTCTCCCCACTATCACTTCACTTGCTTCGCACTCAGCGACTCCCCGTTCAGCAACTCCGCACACAGCGTCTTCAGCTCCGCTATCGCTACGCTCTCTCCACTGCTAGCTATTCTCCTCAGAACCCTCCGCACATAGTGTCTTCGCAGACAGCGACTTTGTGGGGGCTACCGTCCCCCGCCATCACTGAATTGTCGGGGCCGTTGCCTACTGACTCCCCCGTGATACTCGTCCCACTACCCCCCGGCTGCTCTGTGGGGTCCGGGCCACTGACCCCCAATTCCCCGCCCCCCTGCACCCCCGCCTTTGCGGCTGCCCGCGTCACCATGATTCAATTGACGCAGTGGTCTGTGTTTACGCCCGCGGTGCGCTTTGCCGTGCAGAGGCGGTGTGCCGCTGTAAGCGCGCTTTGCCAGAAAAATCTCCGTCCCGCCCGTAAACAAACAGGCGCGGCGTGTGTTTCCCTCCCACTCGCGCTCCACGTGTGCCGACAATAACAAACACGCCCCTACCCTCTGCCCAGCCCCGTACACCAATCGCACACGAGGGGGTTGGAGCCGAGGGATGGGCGGGCGGGGTTTCTGCCGTGCGCGCGCCACTGATTGGGGTTGCTCGCTCAGCTCTGATTTAAAGGTCCCGCTCAAACAGTCGCGCGAATACACGCACGCTCGGCAAATAACTCGCTACTTCGCAATTAGACACTTGTGCGGGTGCGTGACCGCGACACAGCCACCCAGGTACGCGATCGCTAAGCACTATTGTGAGCGATATCACGGGTACGCGAGCACTGGGCACCACCGAAAGTCGCCACGTATGCCCGTACGCGCTGCGCAGTACTGTACACAATTGCGCGGGTGCACGATCGCGACGCCGTCAAACCGGTATGCGAGCGCTACGCGTTACTGTAAACAATCGTGCGGGCACGTAAACACCACACGCTTCATCTCGAGGTGCACAGCCGCGCATACACGTAGACACCCAGCGCACTCTGCCCTCCACTTCACACTCCCAAAAGATCACGTAACACAGTTTTATCCCCCCCACTAGCGAATTTTATTTACCTCGAGTAACTAATTTTATCTACGTGTGATGGTATGGGTCAGTAGACGCTAATCTATCCCTCAGAGGTCTTCGATTCAATTTCTCCTACCGATCGCCCCGCTCTCTATCCTGGATTTGAAACACTTAAACTTACGCCTCTCTCACTCGTACTTACTTCCACCTGATGTACTAACCGCTGTAAGGGGATGAGGCGGCGAGCCTGTCGGTGCTGGAGTACGTCTCACGGACGTCTCGGATGGCTGACTCTGCTGCTCCTGGGACCGCGATGATCTTGAAGAAGAAGAACCCCCTTGCTACCCCAATCCCCCTCCCTTTATCCTACCTACAACAAAGGAATTTTGCTCTTTCAGTCCCTTGGCCTCCCGTCCAATCAGGGGCTCGGATTCTCCCACCCTATCGATGCCCGGATCCCAGCTCGGGTGACGTCGCCGCAGTGATCTCACCGACGTCCGCTCTCTGTTCTCCCGCTACCAGTCCACTGACCCGTGCTTGTGCGTGTGTGGCTCCACTCGCGGTGGCTCG